GCAGAGACAAATAAAGCAAGAATGTTAACCAGTCTAGAACCAGCTTTTAGCTTGAATGCTTCCATTACACTCCGCTGCGATACTGTTATGAGGACGATAACAAATTTTGCATCAAGGGATGCACGAACCACAGCAACAATAAACGCCCGGCTATCAATGATAACCCGCAGTGGTGATTACCGATCTGACCACGGTGCCTCGGTTCCCCTGGTAAGTGATCGCTCCTGATGCGACTGTTCAACTCGCACACTATCGGCGTTTATCTCTCCTAGTCCAAGTTATACTGGAAGTGAGGCGAGTACGCATATCTGCTTTATTCCCGCCAGGAGACAGTGGCGTGCAGACTCTACGCAGAAGCAATGACGTCAGCGTTCTCTTTTCGCAGGGCCTCCCGTATCAGAAGCAACAAGACGAGTTATCTCGAAGGAAACATTTAAGCTTGGGCTGAAAAACGGGGGGGTTAAACGAGAGGAGCAGTTGGCACAGCGGGGTCTTAATCCTTGGCGAGAGACATCGAGCGAAAAACTGCTTTGTACACATAAATGCTCTGTAAAAATGCTGCACCTCTGAATGGAGCACGAGAAAACTAACAACAAACACACCATCACACCATGTGTATACACATACTTCTCTCTTGTGCTCTCTTCACACTTCAACTCCCCGGGTCAAAACATTTTCACAGACACAAAGCTCCTCTCACAGTGTTGCTAAATGAACGCGGCTCGTTAAAGCGGGATGTCTGCCGCTTTTCAAGCAGGGGAGATATGCAGGATGAAGGAGGATGAAAAAAGAACGAAGAAGAAACTTCATACAGGCGACGTTTGTACAAGGGTTATAAGCGCTTTGAAATTGGATTGCAGAAAGCACGACACTGCAGCTAGCGGGCGCGGTGACAGTTAACGATGTGCACTCAGGCTCACAGAGCATATGCAGAAGGTGGGCGGCGGCATGGGCTTGAAAAAGTGAGTGCTTATGTACGCGGGAAGGTGGATACACGGATAGGGACAGGCACGCAGTAAAAAGATGGGATCGCGCGCGCGCGTATTAGCGCGGCAGATCCTCGTGTATATAAGGTGAGTACGCGATCACTGGCGTGTATGTATAGAAGGGCGTGCGTAAAAGAGTTTCACGATACAGAGGCGCGCGTCGCGCCTGAATTGTCTCGGGGCGTCACGTCTATACATCTACAATTAAAGGGGGGCTCCAAGGCCCCAATGTGCGTGACGTGGCACTTGTCTAAGCACGACAGGCATTGTAAGTTCGTGCTGCTCCACGCCCCTCCAGGCGCCTCGTGTTTTTGCTATCTTGTTTGCATCCGTAGTGAGCCTTTGCATCTCTGACGGTGCGGCTTGGAGCGTGCGGGTTGAGACTGAATAAGCTGTAACGGCTACGACGCGAAGAGAAAATGGTCCGGCCTAGATAAGTCAAGGCGGTTCTTCACCGTGGCCTCGCGCTCTGCGAGTCAGTTCTGCAGGGCGTTATTATCCGCGACCCGCCGGCGTGACTGGTGTTTGCGGTGCGTCGAATCTTGTAAAGCGTGATCCTTTCACTGATCATTTCGCGTTCGTCGGCGCATCTTAACGTCGAAGCTGGGACAGTTATGTCGTAACGTCAGCGAACACTAGCGGCTGCCTTCGAAGAACAGTAATCATATGTTCCAGTTTTGCGCCAATGTTCCCGATGAATGAACTTGCTTTCGTCAAGTGTTTTAGAGCGTGTAGGCCGGGATGAGGTCGAGACAATGAGAAATCAGCGCAAGACCACCGTCGAGTATGCGCAAGTTCGATACGAACCACCAATGCACGGCTCGACATTTCGCACTGCTTAAGGAATTTTTAGTGATGCACTGCTTAGAATTCTTTTAAAAACACCTACCGTCAGCTCAAATTATACGTAAACTCGGTACGTATACTGTCACGTATGTCCCTCCGCCCGTGCAACAGATGAAAGATACGCTGAATTTTCATGGCTCATCGAAAGTGATTATGTTGCTGTAATCAGGTCACCCTATGAACATGCACGTTGAAGGTATATGCTTTTTCGAAAGGTCAAAGTTAGGCTAGAATCGGCCATTTTTGCCTGTGTAAAGTGGCTAACCTATACCATCATCACGAATTAAAGGGGGCTCCAGCAGGTATTTCCAACGCCTAATCGATTGTTCGTAGCTGACTGAACGACAGAAACATGTACGCTGTGGATTGAGCCTCTGGTATGCAGCCTGTGGTTTCGAAAACTCCTGGATCGCCTCACAGTGGCCTCAAGACTGCGTCTATAGCCCCCATATTCAAACTATTCGGCCTACCGAATACGGCCTTGAGCTATTGTTAAGAGAGTAACTTAGTTTTACTAACCAATTTCGGATAGCCTCAGTCACGAAGTGATCCGGGAAATGACGAGAGACTACACGTGACGAAGGTATGACGTCAGAGTCAACCTTTTTTGTTTATTTTTGAGGCGTAGATAAAATATTTCTCTTGCCAGGGACATTACAGACGCTTGTTGTTGACAGATTGATGCCTTACGGTCTATCTGTGACGTGCGAAGTGGCCCTTCTAGATAAGCGGCTGGGAAGCGCTGCTGTGCGCACGAAAGAAGATACCGAGGCCAAGGCCGCGAAGGAACACACACTGCACTCACATACGATGTGCAGACAAGGCGTGGTATGTTTTCATTCATAAGCCTACATCAGTCGGTGCATTCCTATGGTTAGAATATCTGACCTATAGACATGCACACCCTTGAGCATGTTGTCTACGCGATAGTGATGACAGGCTTTTTGTAGCTGCTTCTAAGCGCTGTATATCCAATATGCAGGCAGCACTGTCACTTAGGCCGTGAACGCTGGTAAAGCATAGGTTGATTCACTCTTTGCGTAACGTGCAGATATACAATAATTTTAGCTCGCTTCAGTCTAAGTATGAATTGGATTAATTTCTATATTACATACTAGTCGAGTCGGCATCGTAATAAGTCTTCTTGTAATTCCTTTCACAAAGGCTAATTGTCAAAATTTTTAACGATAAAATGAGTTTGTTATACTTATACAAGAGCTGACACACCTTAAGAGACTTGTTAAAACATAAGCTGCTACACAGCGGCTTGTTCATGGGCGCTAAAGGCGATTGTCCTTACAGCACAAGTTGGCACAACAGTGGTCAATGCAACGGCTGCCATATTCAAAACGAGTGCAGCACGACGAATAGATGGGAAAAGGAAGTTTTTTTTTATTTTTTATGTTGCGTTTAACGTCCCAAAACCACCATATGATTATGAGAGACGCCATAGTGGAGGGCTCCGGAAATTTCGACCACCTGGGGTTCTTTAACGTGCACCCAAATCTGAGCACACGGGCCTACAACATTTCCGCCTCCATCGGGAATGCAGCCGCTGAAGCCGGGATTCGAACCCGCGACCTGCGGGTCAGCAGCCAGTACTTTAGACACAAGACCACCACGGCGGGGCAGGGGAAAGGAAGCGACAATGAACGAAGCCACTTCGTGATGAAGCAGCGAGCCATCGCTTTTAGATCTTCTCTTCATGTGAAGATCAAGTTTGGAAGTAAATATTCACGCACAGCCTTTCGAATCCTTCCCTCACGCATGCCATAAGTCACACATGCACTTACTAAATGCACGAAAAAGTGCAGCAAAAAACCAGATTTCGAAGTGCGCGTTCGTGAGCCTTCTGTATTAGTTGACCTACAAAATTTCATTTCTAGGAATATGGCTTAAATGATGTTATCAATCAATTCTAAAGGACCATGCTCACGAACAAACGAATTGCAGTACGACAGTCAAGTCCAGTAGCGTGCAGACGCTCATTCGCGTGCACGTTGACAGTGACGCATCTGAGCAAGTTGTATATGTTGTGCCCTCTTTGCAGTTGAGATAAAGTGGCCGCTATCATGCTTGTTCCACGAGCTATCTCTCCAGAACAGACACCACAACCTCAGAACAGGGCATCATTGAAATCTAGCATTTTCCACAACGGCAGCCCCGCTTCCCGTTCAGGGTCAGTGGCCACGTGCACGTATCCAGAGAAGAAGATAAGAAAACCTTCCTTATCCAAGGGCAGGTCTCGCGTAGCGGGACACAAACTTGAGTCCGACTAGGCGTGCGAATCAGACTTGCAAAAGTTCAGTCTAGACGTGTGGGTCCACCCCGCACAGACAAAAAAGCGAGTCTCAAACCTTGCCGTTTCGGTGACGTGTACGACACAGCACTGATCTCAAACACAGCGGGTTTGAAAGATTGGATCGCTGATAAGCGTGTCGTTAGACAAGCTTTTACCTTCTTGAGTTAACAATAGCAGATCGTACATACTATGCACCGTGCGAACGTAACCCTGTGGTTCCGTGTGCCATGGGTTTCCTGCGTATTAAGTACGTTGGCAAAACGTGACACCGTATTATTACATACGACATAACACAGACACACACTATTAAGCACGTCTATTCTGAGAGTGCCTAGTAGCACGTGTTCGACAAATGACATAGCATAGTGATGTGCGCAGACTCGCAATGTGCTCTAGGTGTTCCTGAGCAGGTCGCGGGTATAAGATGATTTGGAACATGTTATACAGTCACACTAATCCGCATACGACAGCTCCGATGGTGCAGTAAATCCTGCAGACAAGACATGACACCCGAGATATGTCCCGTAATCGAAAAGAGATGGGACAGGCTGCACTTCTCTTGTCATTGGTAATATGGTCACGCAAATTTTCGTTGCTTCGACATTCGAGCGAGTGTCCTTTCTTTCGTTCAAACTGATGGGCGTCCTGCGCTCGTAACGACGAGTACGCACATCTACGGTTGCTTACTAGATCTAAGAATGTTGTGTACTTTTGTCGTGTCACTGCCGGTACAGTGAATCTACAGCGGGCCCTGTAGCAGTCGGTGTCATACTTTGTGAACATGCGTCTAACTAGGACACGTTCGAAGACACATTAAAATGAAAATCCGATAATTGTTGGGGCCTTGCAGTACGAAGAATCCCGTATCGTTTATGACAGACGCCGAAGTGGAGGGCTCCGGAAATTTCGATAACCTGGGGTTCTTTAACGTGCGCCTATATCTTGATAAACGAGCCTCTAACTTTTATCCTCCATCGAAATGCGGCCGACAAGGTCGGGATTCAATCGCTTGACCTTTGGGATAGCGCAAGACCACTAGACCACCAGTGGCGGGTTGCAGTTGTTGGTTCCGTGTTCTCGACCGAGCGTGACACGACAAAAGGTTAATCGTCTGCAGGATAAGGTTGCACCATCGAGGCGGTAAGAACGCTTAGCGTGAGGCGAGAAAAAAAACAAATGCGGAAGGGAGGATGTACAAGAGGGATGAAGAGGTTGTTCCGCACAGCGCAGTGCCGCCCTCCACGGTGGCGGTGACAGGTGTCGTCATTTCGCGGGTCCCGGCGAAGTGCAGTTGGTGAGGATGGCCCTGAGCCTGGAGAAAGTGAGCGAGCCAATGGAGTCGGGCAGGCCGGCCAGCGGGTGTCACTTGTGGGTGCTCCTCCGCTTGGCGTCCTCCCGACTTTTTCTCGTTGCTTCCTCGGTGCGCAGGGTGACGCCGAAGATGTCCTCGTGGATGCGGTTCTCCTCCTGCATCGCACATGGAGAAGCACAACTACTGAAACCTCCACGTTGCAGTACCAACATAGTTGCAGTACCAACATATGTTATCAACAAATCCTGCATCGCACAGGAGAAGCACAACTACTGAAACCTCCACGTTGCAGTACCAACATAGTTGCAGTACCAACATATGTTATCAACAGATCACGTGCAGGTATACCTTATAGTTATGAAGGTGATAGCCTTCGAGGCATCACGAAACACGAAAAGCGACGGTCGCCGTCAACACGAGTGATGCAAGAAAGTCATAATCGTGTGATGATGAGGTCCCCACATGACGTCATCATGACATCACAGATAGCCTAAGTTTAATAAGTCATCTTAACGTCGAAGCAACGTGCTGCCACGTGGTGGCATCGTTACATAACGTCGCTTGGCCATAGGTGGACCGATGCCGGACACTCTTGAGGAGCCGAAAGCTTACAATGCATTACATTTTAGATGCAGTGCAGAACCACGCCAAGTGCAGAAAACTTTCGGGGGCTAACGGACCAATACAATCGACTGGCAAGAAAAAAGAACAGATTTTTTTTTCTCTTTCGGGTCGTCATGAGCAAACACATAAGGGACGCTGTGATTTTTTCTTGCGCAGATGTCATAAACGTGCCTGCGGCGTCGTTATCCTAATAAAACAGGTAATTTGCATGTCACGTGATTGTGCTACATTAACCTCGTAAAAGCCGTCATATTGAAGTACCAAGATGCAAAGAAAAAACAACAAAAAAACCCCGACTGCGTCCGTGTCGCGTACCCACCCTTGCTTCTAGTGCACCTGGTGTGCACTAGAAGCAATGTCTCCAATTATGACCCCCCCCCCCCCCCCCAAAAAAAAAATACGATTCTTGGTGCGATTTGTGTCGGATATTGACGATATTGAGAAGCCGTAAAACAAGTTGACGTGGATGTCTGCGTACTATTTAACTTTCCTTAGTGCTCTGTTCCCCATTTACCTTTTTACGCACTGATTTGTACCAGTTATTTAAAAATGGCATTCATTGACGAGGCTTTGGGAGCACCACTGAAGTTAAAGGGAACTCTGACGTGGAGTCTTAGTATAAGTACAAACTAAGCCTGTACGAGTTCATTAAAAGCTACTAGCACTAATGTGGTCACTGCGGTCACAGCGAACGTGAGGAATGAGCTCGTACACTTTCACGATATATAAAGCTAATGGCATTCTCACAATCTAACTTCCCGAGCATATAGCTTATAATCCATGGCTCACTGGTAATGAGTTGTACGGTTGGCCTTAGACTCATCTGATTTGCCCATTGTTTTCAAACAGTAAATATGGTCAAGAGCATTTCAGAACAAGACGCTATACACGCACCCTGAGCTTATCCATGAGCGTTTCGGCCTTCTCCTCCGAGATGTTCCCTTGGTCTCTCAGTATGGCGCGCACAGCCTTGTTGACTCCGTCGGCCATGATAACATCGCCACAGACGTACAGGTGGCCGTTGTCCTTCGTGAGAAGCTTGTACAACTCCTCGGCCCTTTCGTGTAGCCGATCTTGGACATAGCACTGCACAAATAATATGGAGTTTCAGAATACCGTACGGAAAGCTTGCGGGCATTGCGGGAGGTTAGCGTACGACTCATGCGCAATGCAAACGTAAAGGTTTGCGTACGCTATTATAAAATTCTCTAATAAGACAAGGTTGCCATTTCACCTTGCCCGTGGGTCTTTAAGATCAGAAGCATGCGCAGGATTGCCCATCGGGGGAAGGGGCGGGGGCGAAGGTTCATCACATCTAAAGAAAGTCAATGTAGGGTGCCGGTTTAGTGTCCCCCTCCTCTTATGCAACTCAGAGGACTCCCTGCGCCCCCCTCCCACGCGCCCGCTTATGCCTAAGATAGAGTTCGTAATGCGCCAACTAATTCTAATGGCTATTTAACGCAGCCAGCACACCTTAACACTGGTCTCCATGCGAGGGCACTGTACTAAAAGAGACAACAGGAGCACCAGCATTGCACATCCAGTATTACACTTCAAACATTTCAAGAAATCTTTTTTTTTTACAACGAACGCTTAACCCCGACCTTGCAAGAAATTTTTAACCAAATTTGCTTTTGAGAGACTGTTAACTGTCTCTGGTGTAAATTCGCTTGTAACACCCATGTGTATCGATGCATTATTCCTTCAATATAATAAGTCCCGAGTTATGCATCAGTGTTACCTTGTAGGTACTGCGCTTCAACTAACCCACTTCTTACATAAATTTGCTTTATTTGCGTCAATCTGTGACTACCATAAGAAAGGAGATGACAAGGACTTGAAGAATTACAGGCCGATCAGCTTGCTCTCTGTAGTGTACAAGCTATTTACAAAGGTAATTGCTAACAGACTAAAGAAAACATTAGAATTCAATCAACCAAAGGAACAAGCAGGATTTCGAACAGGCTACTCAACAATTGACCACATTCATACTATCAATCAGGTAATAGAGAAATGCTCAGAGTATAACCAACCACTATACATAGCCTTCATAGATTACGAGAAGGCGTTTGATTCAGTAGAAATATCAGCCGTCATGCAGACACTGCGGAATCAGGGCGTAGATGAAGTATATATAAACATTCTGGAAGAAATCTACAGGGGATCAACTGCTACCATAGTGCTTCTTAAAGAAAGCAACAGAATACCAATCAAAAAGGGTGTAAGGCAGGGGGACACAATCTCCCCAATGCTATTTACCGCGTGCTTACAGGAGGTTTTCAGAAGCCTAGAATGGGAACAGTTAGGGATAAGAGTTAATGGAGAATACCTTAGTAACCTGCGCTCCGCCGATGACATTGCATTGCTGAGTAACTCAGGGGACGAATTGCAACTCATGATTACGGAGTTAGACAAGGAGAGCAGAAAGGTGGGTCTTAAAATTAATCTGCAGAAAACGAAAGTAATGTACAACAACCTCAGAAAGGAGCAGCGCTTCGAGATAGGTAATAGTGCACTTGAAGTTGTAAAAGACTACGTCTACTTAGGACAGGTAATAACCGCAGAGCGTAACCAGGAGATTGAAGTAACTAGAAGAATAAGAATGTGGTGGAGCACATTCGGCAAGCACTCTCAAATTATGACAGGTAGATTGCCATTATCCCTTAAGAGGAAGGTATATAACAGCTCTTGCCGGTACTTAGCTACGGAGCAGAAACCTGGAGACTTACAAAGAGGGTTCAGCTTAAATTGAGGACGACGCAGCGAGCAATGGAAAAAAAAATGATAGGTGTAACCTTAAGAGGCAAGAAGAGAGCAGAGTGGATTAGGGGACAAACGGGGGTTAAGGATATCATAGTTGAAATAAAGAAGATGAAATGGACATGGGCCGGGCATGTAGCGCGTAGACAGGATAACCGCTGGTCATTAAGGGTAACTAACTGGATTCCCAGAGAAGGAAAGCGGGTTAGGGGAAGACAGAAGGTTAGGTGGGCAGATGAGATTAAGAAGTTTTGCGGGTATAAATTGGCAGCAGCAAGCACAGGACCGGGTTAACTGGCGGAACATGGGAGAGGCCTTTGTCCTGCAGTGGACGTAGTCAGGCTGATGATGATGATGATGATGATGATGATGATGACTACCACAGTGCCCTGGATACACGCCTTTTTCTGTCCCGGAACCCTTGAGAATGCGAGAAACACGTTTCGCAGTGCTCCGGCGGCCTTCATTGTCTGCACTTCTTCAGCGTAAAGCTGCGACTCCATTGTGCGGCATCCGAAGTACAGATCCATCTGACCCTCGTAAAATGGTTGCCCTGAAAAAAAAAGTGTTTTGAATAAATATTCAAGTAAAGTAATAAGTATCGCATGCTCTCTTTTGCGTATTACACGGGGGGCACAGTCGTTCCCATTAAAAGAAAAGTGACTGAACTATGTCATTATCTGAGTATTTCCATGTCTATGCAGCTTCCACCATTTTTTTTTTGCCGTACGCGTTGTAAATGCACCTATGACGGCAAACACGTGAAAAGGGAAACCGTGAAGCACATGAGGATACATCAGGTGCATGCTTTGGTCGTCATGAAGTCTATTGACATGCGGTATTTCTTTGCCGACGTTGTTGGCCAAAACATCGTCCATCGCAGGTATTCCAAAGTATCGCTAGACGCAGGTATTTCTTGCCGATATCACGCGAAATGATCACGAATAGATCAGTTAGTTATGTAACACACCTGTTTACCTGCAGTAGTGTCTGGCGAAATAATGCGTGCATACCTTCTTGGTAGACACCCTGCATAGAACAATAGCGTCGTTGCCAAAAGCTCCTGTAGGGGGCGATGCCCGTCCCCGGTCCGACGAGCACCACGGGAACGTTCTTCTGTTCTGGCAGGTGGAAGTTTGGAGCGCTGGTCGTCGGGAAAGATAAATAAGAGTTCAATAAATATATATGCTTATATGCTTTACCAAGAAGACGGCGGATGTTAAGTCAGAGGAAAACGTACTTCTCACGCTGCACGTATATAGTTTGCATACGGCGACTGAAATACGGCGGCCAGAATGAGATCCAGGATACCCTATCCGATCACTCATCTGTTTCACACTTACAGAAAATCCCGTAGCGCGTGGCACCGCGATGCGGCGCTGCAGTCACGCGCCGGCAGCAGCACGCGCATGCGCAGATGCTGCTGAACGGTTGAACCGCGTCGTCGGCTACGGCAGCGCGCTCTGGCCGCATTTACGGGCAGCCGGCGAATTTCATCGTTACAGCGGGAACTGAGCCGATATCACTCATCGCGTCACTGTACGCCTCACCGCCGTTCAAATTGAGCGCCGTCATCGCAGCTGCTCGGGACATGATGGTGTATTAAGAGAATCTGGAAGCTTCAGACGTGTAATTCGGCGTCGGCGAGTGAATGCTGCCTCGTGACATGAATGTCATCGAGAATCACGTTCAGGTCGTTACCTTAGCTTACAGCATTACCGAACTCGCTCTCGTTTGATTTATTGTGTTGAACCCACATAGCTGCATGACTGCCGCTGTAGAGTGCTTCCTTTTTCTTCAGCGTAAAAAAAAAATACCACGCACGGTACGTGTTTATTGTGCTTGACGGAGTAGAGGGCGCTGCCCGGCCCGAAGGGATTGGTCGCGACCGAAGCGTGGGCGGGGCGCGCCCCGGCTACGCTTTCTCGCGTTTCGCCCTGTTTTTCTATTTTACAGGATCTACATAAAGACATTAGAGTAGAAGAAAACAACTGAGATGATTTTCAAAGTGACTATAAGGCTTTCCAACGAAAGCGTGCCGTGTATTCTTTCCGTGTTCCCCTCTAGAACACGGACAGCGATGCGTCAATGATACCAATTGACTGATCGGTCATATTCTCTAAGAAATGGCCCACTAAAAAGTGTCGTGGGGAACTGTATAAATTAGAAGTGAATGCGGTGTCAGTGCGCTAATTTTCTATCATGGAATTTCAGCGGCAGTCGTTCGCTTGTCTGAACGACCGAGAGTGATAGCTGCCGTTGACGTACTACTTTTCGCACAGCTTTTCGCACACCCCTCGAAACTGTCGTGATACTTTAGTATCCTTTTTAATTATTGCAATCACTTAAATATTTTGAGCATGCTGCGACAGCACGCAAGATTACTCAGATATGCCGATAATGTGCTACACAGAAATAAACTACCAGCGCTAACCTTGTAAACAATTTATTGCTTTTAACCACAGTTTCAAAAAAAAAAAATGTGGAGCTTAAATGTTATAATAAACGCTATGGTGTAGGCTACCAAAGTGGGGAGTGCAGAGTGAGAGTGAATAACCGAGAATAATGCTTTGACAGAATTAAAGGCCGATAACAAGGGTTTCTAAGATTGCTGTAATTGAATCAATTAGGAGAAAATAAGTGTCCAGATTTGCAACAGAAGGCCCACTTGACTATGGTCTAGTGGGCCTTCTGTTGCAAATCTGGACCCTTATTGGCTTTGGACCGAATGTACAAAATTTTCAGCCATTTGAGTCAACAGAACAAGCAAATGCCGGTCAACGTGTTTATTCACAAGAGCCAAATGTCATTCCACTCAAAAACTGATGCTATGACTAATCCTGTGATGTCATGTGCACCTGCGCACTTTCAAAAGCTGTGCCATTTTGCGCCTTTCTTCTTTTGCCTTGTGACACCCTTTATTAGGAAGTGCAGACGAGTGACAATGTAGAATCGCAAAATCTTTGCTTTCACTTCGGCTTCATGCGCAGCACAGCCAATAATTTTGTCTTTGCCCTTCACAAGTGACAGTACGTCCAAAATGCTGTCGGCATGCAGGCGGTTCATGCTGAAGCAGCCCGTGAAGACGCCCTCTAGGTAGTTGACGAATTCAAAGAGCTCTTTTGACGGATAAAGCAATTCACCTTTGTCGCAAAAACTTGTAAATGCAGCCTGTGTATCGGCTCTGCCTTCTGACGCCGGAACAAGCAGGAGGGTGCGGCATGTATCACACCCAGTCTTCTCCACACACTTCTTGGCCACGTACCTTGCCATGTGGTAAACTAGACGAGAGTTGCTGTTTTTTTGCACGAGGCTGTGATGTTCAATGGGGAAAGTTGGCTCCTGGCAGGCAGCATCGTCCAGACTGTCGAGGTCGCCTAGTGCAACATGCTTTTCAATTGTTTCTTGCAAGCTTGCTTGTTGCAGTTGTGCATCCCCTGTGTCCAGAAGTGCTGTCAACACCACTGGCTCCACACTGCTACCACTCACTGGTCTTGCCAAACTATAAAAGCTGAGGCAATTGACCGTAATCAGAAACTGCTCTGGTGTTGGATGATCATTGCAGCCTGGTGACTGCCGCACAATCCCGAACAGGTTCTCCACTGGATCTTGACTTAGCTTTGCAGTCATCAGGTACTGGTAGTGAAGCTCCTTCGTGACATACTGCAGCAATGACAGTACGCTAGACAGCGTCACCCGGAAGCCAACAGCTGTTGATTTGCTAATAAATCCAACAGTGTTGCCAACGTGCTGCTCCCACTTTGTTATGTACTTAAGGAAGTTTGACAGCGCGGCAACTCCACTTGAGTTGGGCCACAGTGCTTCGGATTTGAAGCGGGACGTCATCACCTTAATCAGTTCATTCATCATTCTGAAACAAATAGATCACAGAAACATGAGATTATCATAAGTACGTGGGTTAGGAAGACAAGGTAACAACAACAGCCTGAGCAGGTCATAATTTTTGTGACTGAATCAACCAAAATACCTGAAGAATGCTTCTGTCGCATCTATGGCTCCTTTTCCATAACTTGACTCTATAGTGCCTTTGTAGTGGTGCAGACCACGCAACACATGGTCACCAAAGAGCTGAAAAGCTAGGGAGACTCGCATCTTTTCAAATCCATTTGGCTCCAGATGGCTAGCGGTCAACCCTGGCATTGCCTTCAGCGTCACATTATCCTTGTCATGATTGAAGGCTTCTTTGACGAAGTATGTAGAGACCTGCATTAAGAAAGCCATGGTGAGTCACTTCCTAGACTTTTTAAGGTCAACTCCACAAGAGGAAAAAAGAGCCTTACCCGTCCATCTGGTGTGTTGAAGCCGCCCTTCAGCAGGGAGTTACGTAGGCACTTCATCAGATGCGGGAAGTCTGAAAGGAAATGAAGTTCCCTTTTTCCATCAACAGGGTGCTTGACTTTACATGTAATCTTGCTGGCAGATCCTTGAACACCCATTAGCGTCCACATCTTCCTGTTCCATGTGGCCCCATCACATGTCACAAAGTGTACAAAGAGTCCCGCTTGCTCTGCCAGAATAGTCGCCTCAACAAGAATTTTGCACAGAAGTTCCCCTTTTACATTTCCATTTGCGGCAAAAACTCCCAGGATTTGGGAAAACTTTCCGGCAAACGGTACAAACATCACAACAATTCCATGGTCGCATGGAAGGCCAGCGTCCTTGGCAGGTGTGAATGGTCCTAAATCCACAAAGCCACGCAGCTTACCAGTTTTCTCAACAGACAAGTGTTCCGACAATTTCATCTCGTCAATGAGAAGTCCACCATGACGTTTGAAGGAGTCCATTGAGCTGGTTTTTGCTTTTAAGGTATCCAACATTTTTCTGCAGAAACCAAAGCCTGTCTTGTACGCTGCTGTGTACTTCTTTAGTGTAGTGTTGCTGGGAAGTACAAGGATATTTTGTTTCCTGATATGCCTATAAAGCTTGGGGCTCTTCATCTTCATGAGTATGCATTCAAGCATCCATTCCTTCGTAAACTGCATGCCTCTTGTACTCTTGCGTTTTGAGGCTGCAAAGCAGTGACGCACGCTCTCTTGCTGCTTTTCTGGTAGCATGGCTATCTTCTCTTCTAGTGCTTCCATTTTTATTTTGGCATTTTGAGCCTTCATTCTTTCTATTTGGCCATGTAAGCTCAACAGTTTCTTACACAAGCGTCTTTGCCTTTGTAATGCGCATCTAAGCTTTTGCGCTGCTGTGATGGCTTGTTTGTGACGACGATTCCTCAGACGAGATAGTCGTGTCAGCAGGGACTTTCGTAGGTAGCGACATGGTAGGCATGGTGCTCCTAAACAACAAAAAAGCAACGTGTCACAAATTACCCTCTTTTTGCAGTGGACAACCTTAGAGAAATGGCCAAAAATCCCTTGTCACCATGCATATCTAGAACATCTAAATTTTTATGTATGTGGTTACGGTCATTACAAAGCAGGATATCATTCCATACGCAATGCAGCGAAACCTAGACTAGACCATCAAGTTGCATGCAGGCTCTATAACAGCAAGACATGTAGTATCCCAGATGCATCGAAGCAAGTAAGTACTGCTCTTCCATCACAAATAAGTCCCTTTAGAGTGATGGGTAGCCATCCCATTGCATAAGTATGCAGTAAAAACTATGTTAGCATGTACGTATTGCAGGGGTCGGCCTGATTTACATGTTGCTGACCATGTTACGAGGCTGTACAAAAAGGTGAACACAAATATTTTTCTATCAATATTTGTGCTGAAATTAAATCATCTATTAAGCTACATGAAGCATACACATTTCGGGAAGCGTGCAACGGTTGATGCATTCAAAAGAACACTACTTTGCATGCGACTTTGATTCCAGGTTACCTTCGGCAGCCGTCGTTCCTGCGCACTTCTTGTTGTAGAATGAGCCGTCTAACACAGTTGTCTGGCCCAGCAGCTTCGTCGTTAAATCCTCTTCGGTGATAGACGAAGTGCTGAGTGCACCTGGACATTTCAGAAATTTAGATGCTTGAAGAAGGGCTTCCTCTGCCTGCAATACAGTTCTCACAAGTCCTTCAGAGACTGGCTTTCCGTTCAGAAATGTTTTGTAACTGGCCTGCTCGATCACGCTCATGTGAAAAAGGACTGCCCTCTCTGAAGTGACAGTGCCAGAGCACGTATCCAACTGCGACAGTGTATAAACAGCGCCTTCATAGCCAGGGAATTGGTGCACCGACCAATATTTAGACGGAGTCCTCAGTTCTCGCAAGTTTTCTAGTTTCAACGACGCTGTCGACACGTCGTGCACGTCGTCTTGACTTTCAAAGTCATCGTCGACAGGCGTACTCGTGCAAGCTTTCTTGCTATTCTGGGGTCCCGGCACGGTAGGCGCTTCCCGTTTACGAGGGGCGCGTTTAGGAGGCAGTTTCGTGCTCAAATATTTCGGAGCGTTGGGCAAGATTGTAGGCACTGCGTCTGGCGTTAGCGCGGGAACACCACGGGCGATTCTCACTTCTTTGCCGTCAATGATGTGAACGTAGTCACGCAGTATGTAGCGGTCCTCGAAGTGGAGCTCGCACACTGCACAGTTTTCCTCGAGAGCTTTGTCGCTGCGATGGAGGTTCCGTTCCCAGATTTTTCTTCTACGTTCATCTTTTGGAACGCTAAAAAGCGACAGCTTCCTATCTGCTTTGACGCCGGCATAGCCTGTGCGGCATCCCGGCGCGTAGCAATGGCGAAGCCTAGCTTTAGTCATGCCGAAGTCGTTGGCACTCACTCATTTGGGCATTCAAGGCTCCCACCACAGCACAGTAGCACACAGAGACGAAACAGCAGCAGCGCTCACGCACACATTACGAGCCACCGCAGCTAATACGTAAATGCGACGACGAACACACTTGGAACACGTCCAAACCAGTGCCGCCGGTGCGAACACCACCAATCCACTGCGACCGCAGCGCCGCCACACCAACTGTCAACGAACCGCGCTTCGCTACGATGCAAGTGCAGAGCCGGCTGCTCGTCCCACTCAGAACTTCTAGTACACTCTAGTTTGGTGCTGAACGGCTGAATCGCGTCGTCGGCTACGGCAGCGCGCTCTGGCTGCATTTACGGGCAGCCGGCGAATTTCATCGTTACTGCGGGAACTGAGCCGATATCACTCATCGCGTCACTGTACGTCTCACCACCGTTCAAATTGAGCACCGTCATCGCAGCTGCTCGGGACATGATGGTGTATTAAGAGAATCTGGAAGCTTCACACGTGCAATTCGGCGCCGGCGAGTGAATGCTGCCTCGTGACATGAATGCCATCGAGAAGAAGCACGTTCAGGTCGTTATCTTAGCTTACAGCATTACCGAACTCGTTCTCGTTTGTTTTATTCTGTTGAACCCGCATAGCTGCATGACAGTCGCTGTAGTGTGCTTCCTTTTTCTTCAGCGTGAAAAAAAAAATACCACGCACGGTACATGTTTATTGTGGTCTTCCCATCGTAGCGTGTACTGTGGTTCACACACGAACAAGAAATATACGTGAACGCACTAAGTACCACGGTGTTTCAAAAGAGCAAACAAAGCATGCTGTCGAATACTGTCTGTAACCCCGCCGCGGTGGTCTAGTTGCCAAGGTACTCGGCAGCGGACCCGCAGGTCGCGGCATCGAATCCCGGCTGCGGCAGCTGCATTTTCGACGGAGGCGAAAATGCTGTAGGCCCGTCTGCTCAGATTTGGGTGCACGTTAAAGAACCCCAGGTGGTCCAAATTTCCGGAGCCCTCCACTACGGCGTCTCTCGTAATCATATGGTAGTTTTGGGACTTCAAACCCCACAAACCGATCAAATACTGTCTGTAGAACCCCAACATCGCCGACGAAGGCTGATAGGTTGTCATCGTACAACGTGAAGTACAGAACATCGGCCTGGTTCCCCGCAGACACGATGAAATAAGCAGATTGTCCGCCAATCTGGCCAGCGCGCACCACTGTCGCAGACGACGCGGTTCAACGCCACGCTCCTCAAGCGCCTGCGCATGCGCGATCTGCTGCGCCAGCGCACGATCGCAGCGGTGGTCGCACCGCGATGACGTGCGCTCCGAGATTTCCCCTAATTGTGAAACAGTATGTACGTGGCTTTGCTTTTCGTAAGCGATTATGTGAGAACTCGTACTATGTATTTGTCGCTAGCCCTGCAGGCGCATCGTACTGCCCCGCTTTCTTTTCATGCAGCATATCGACGTTGTGGTACATTACGGTAGCGGCCGCAATGACGCTGGTGTAAACAATCTATATGCATTACGAGGTACTAATATCTGCATATGCCCAGGAAACAAAATTTTCAAAGTAATAAGCTGAACTTAAAAAAAAAATTGGCAATGGTGTGGGTAGGAAGGCTTCGAATGAATGTCGTGAACATGAGCTCCTTTCAGTTTTGTTCTTCATTTCATCATTTGCCGTCTGGTATATTATATTCGATAAAAAAGAAACACCGTACACTCAATACACTTGGGTGACTTTTGTCAAAACCTACTTTGCTGATGCTAACCGAACTTCGCTTCAAATTTGCGTGGCTTAGACATACGTTCTTCTATCGTGTACACGGCCCGTATATACCACAAATCAGCGCAATTTTCTTCACCTATAATGAAGACATTATGAAAAAAAAACTCACATTCTGACAAAGCAAGCAATTTCTTCTTCTGGTTCAATTGTGTCCAAGAACGAAGAGCACACACCGTAGTGCTTTTTGCCCGTGCCGTCTGAAAGAAAGATGAAAGATGTTCGGTATAAGCCGCTATGCTTACGATGATCCTGTGATCAACAAGCGCTTTTTGTGTAACCGTGAAATTTCAAAAATTCGGCACTACTTTCATCACAGCTGCACTTTAGTGCCACCCACGAGTGAAACTATAACTGCACGAATAATATTTCAAGTGTCAAGATGTTTTTAAGGCGCGTTTGTCTTTCCACTCATACGCCTGGTTTCCAACAGTTCTCATACAGTTGCCTAATGTCGAAGCCATAATGACATAAAAGTTCCGGAGGCGATGCTAATCCTTGACTCGGTTGAGCGACTGTACCGCTTGCACGACGACGCTGGTTTCTTCCACAATGTATTGTCTCGGTTAGCGTTGCGTTTCGCGAGGTGCTGAAGCGGATCACGGAGGCCATATATTGCCACGTTCCATTTCCCAAGTTTTTGTTATCGTTCCGAAACACCACACGATTCTCGGCGCAAACCGCGCCTGCAGGTTTCGAGAAGGTTCTGGACTGTAGTAGATCATTTCGATAAGATCTCGCCCACTGTGCGAACGGTACAGATTGTTCTGGAACCTACGCCACCGCCAGCGATAACGCTAGAACATTCGACGGCAAGTATATAAATGCCGACGCGCTTCGCCGCTTGTCAGTTGTTGATCGAAGGCCGACGCTGCGTTCGCCGCTATCAGTCCGAGACTGCTATCTGTGCAAGACTGCTGCTGTAATTAGACTTTCCCTTTACCGGGCACAGGTTCGCCCAAATAAACAGTTAAATCCCAACACGAAGTTTCCTGTCTTCGGCCACGTCACGACCCCGTGACATCTGGTGGAGGTGCTGCTTCGTTCATGTACCGGACGCCCCCGTCAAGCCGTGAACCCAGCCCCCGTCGCGGAGAAGACACCGACGCCAACCAAGAGCAGCGAACGAGCCACCGACAGCAAGGTCTCCCACCGGAGTACGGCCTTTTACAAGACAAGGCGCGGAAGACCAAGACCATGACCTCGACTGCAGCGACAATGACAACCGGAGCGTCCCAGCCCGCGATCGTCATTCATCAACCCAGGGAACCACCAACGTTCCATGGCTCATCGTTTGAGGACCCGGAAACCTGGCTAGAAACATACGACCGTGTGGCCGCCCTCAACCACTGGGACAACGAAGAAAAGCTCCGTCGTGTGTACTTCTACTTGGAAGACAGCGCAAGGACCTGGCTAGAGAATCGGGAGTCCACGCTCCGAACGTGGGATGTCTTCTGCGGCGCATTTCTGCAAACGTTCGCGAGCGTCGCTCGCAAAGAGAGGGCCGCTGCTCTACTCGAGACCCGGGTTCAGCTACCAAATGAAAAGGTTGGAATTTTCACAGAGGAGATGACCCGCCTATTCCGTCACGCTGACCCAGACATGCCTGAGGAAAAGAAAGTTCGTTTCCTCATGCGAGGGGTCAAACAGGAGCTCTTCGCGGGACTAATGAGGAATCCACCGAACACCGTTCAAGAATTTGTATCCGAGGCGACCACCATCGAAAAAACGCTGGACATGCGCACCAGACAGTATAATCGTCGCCTGACTCCAGAATGCGCTGCTGCTCAAGCCAGTGACCTCGACGACCTGCGTGAAACGATCCGAGCGATCGTGCGGGAAAAGCTGCGCAAACTGTTGCCTTCGGCGCAGCCTCAAGTGGATTCGATCGCCGACATTGTGCGAGAAGAAGTCCGGCAATCGCTTCGAATTCCCGAAACACCGCCGCCCGAGCCAGAAACTATGAGCTACGCCGCTGCAGTGCGCCACAACGCTCCTCCCCGTCCACGCCAAAACGCTGCCCCGTCGCACTTCCGTCGCCAGACGCCACCGCCGCCACCACCCCCAACGACGTCCTACCGTTCCCCAGCGGGCCAGCGCAGTGCACCGAGGAAAACGGACGTTTGGCGTGCACCTGACAACCGCCCGCTCTGCTACCACTGCGGCGAGGCCGGGCACACATACCGCCGTTCTCAGTACCGACAGATGGGACTGCGTGGCTTCGCCGTCAATGCACCGCGTCCGCAGCCAGGAGATCGGCCACGTGACATCGCCGACTACCTGGCAGGAACTCAATGGACACCACGAAGTCCTTCCCGTTCGCCGTCGCCCAGCCGCCGCATGTCACCGCACCTCCGGCAGTACTCTGGCCCAACGCGGGGCCGGTCTCCTAACCCGTATCCGGGAAACTAAGGGCAGCAACCGATGGAGGTGCGGTTGCTGTGCGACGAACTACCGAAGATCCTCCGACGCCGCCGCCGCCGCGACGAAGCTTTTTGAACACAACACCAACCAGGCAAAGTCCTGAAGGCAAAAGCTCACTTACCGAAGGTGGCCGGACGACGCAACATGGAAGTAGCGGAACAAGCCGACGCAGCCGTGACCCGACGCCACGCCCTAACTGTAATGCGAGACGGCGAACTAACGACCTCGACGTTCTTATCGACGGCCACAGTGTGACTGCTCTCGTCGATACTGGAGCCGACTATTCTGTCATCAGTGGGTCGTTTGCCGCAAAGTTAAAGAAAGTTAGGACAGCTTGGAAAGGCCCAGAAATCCGCACAGCCGGAGGTCATCTCGTAACGCCTGCAGGAATCTGCACAGCGAGAGTCACCATTAACGGCCGTATTTATCCTACAGACGTCGTAGTCCTACAGCGTTGCTCGAGAGATGTCATCCTTGGCATGGACTTCTTATGCCTCCATGGTGCTGTCATCAACCTAAAAAAAAGGTCGATAACGTTATCCACAGAAGAAGCACTACCGCCGCGCACGCCGTCAGGACACCATGCCTTGAATGTGCTAGAAGAACAAGTCACCATTCCGCCTCGCTCAAGCGTAATTATTTCAGTCGGCGCTCCTAAATCACCCGACTTGGAAGGCGTAATTGAAGGGAGTCAGCATCTGTTGGTCACCCGAAATATTTGCGTCGCAAGAGGAATTGCAGAGCTGCGGGGAGGCAAAGCAACGGTTATGCTCACGAATTTCAGCAATGAGTACAAACATGTGAACAAAGGAACAACGGTCGCATACATCGAAGAAATTGTCGAAGCCACCAGTGCTTTCGCCCTCGCCGATTCTGCGGAACCTGCTCAGAGGAACCAAGCCCCTCCCATAGCTTTCGACGTCAGTCCCAGACTTCCGAACGATAAGCAAGAACAGCTCAAGGCCCTGCTCCTGCAATACGAAGATTGCTTTTCGTCGTCATCGAAAATTCGGCAGACCCCAATCACGAAACATCGAATCATAACCGAAGAAAATGCCAGACCACTCCGTCAGAGTCCGTACAGGGTTTCGACGCGAGAACGTGAGGCCATGAAGAGACAAGTTGATGAAATGCTGCGAGATGACATTATCCAGCCTTCCAAGAGTCCGTGGGCATCCCCCGTGGTGTTAGTGAAGAAAAAGGATGGGACCCTACGTTTCTGCGTCGATTATCGCCGCCTGAACAAAATCACAAGAAAGGACGTGTATCCTCTCCCACGAATAGACGACGCACTTGATCGGCTCCATAACGCCAAGTACTTCTCGTCAACGGACCTCAAGACTGGCTATTGGCAAATCGAAGTCGACGAAAGAGACCGAGAGAAGACGGCGTTTATAACACCGGACGGCCTCTTTGAGTTTAAGGTGAGCGCCTGCAACTTTTCAACGCGTTATGGATACAGTATTGGCAGGATTGAAGTGGCAGACTTGCCTTGTGTACTTGGACGACGTCGTCGTGTTTTTCTCGAGTTTCGACGAGCATCTTCGGCGCCTTGAAGCTGTACTTCAAGCCATCAAGACGTCCGGACTCACACTGAAGCCAGAAAAGTGCAGATTTGCGTATGAGGAGCTCTTGTTTCTGGGGCACGTTATCAGCAAGTCTGGAGTTCGTCCCGATCCACGGAAAACAGCCGCCATCACCGACTTCCCGCCGCCCACTGACAAGAAGGCCGTGCGCCGATTCCTGGGCCTGTGCGCCTATTATCGGCGGTTCGTGAAAAACTTCGCCCGCATCGCCGATCCTCTCACTAACCTTACCAAGGCCGACGCGGAGTTCAAGTGGGAAACGCCACAGGAACACGCTTTCCAGGAGCTTAAACATCGCCTCCAGACGCCTCCGTTACTTGCCCATTTCGACGAATTCGCCGAGACAGAAATACATACTGACGCAAGCAGCGTAGGTCTTGGCACCGTTCTTGTGCAGAGAGCTGACGGACTTGAAAGGGTTATTAGTTACGCCAGCCGATCGCTATCCAAAGCAGAAGCAAATTATTCCACAACAGAAAAGGAGTGCCTCGCCATCATCTGGGCTACGTCGAAATTTCGCCCCTACCTCTACGGCAGGCCCTTCAAAGTTGTGAGCGACCACCACGCCTTGTGTTGGCTAGCCACCTTGAAGGACCCTTCAGGTCGCCTCGCACGATTGAGCCTGAGACTTCAAGAATATGACATTACTGTCATTTACAAGTCCGGCAAAAAAACACTCCGACGCTGACTGTCTCTCTCGTGCGCCTGTCGACCAACCGCTACCCGACGACCCGGATGACGACTACTTATTGGGAACGATAACTACCGACGACTACGCTGAACGACAGCGGGCCGACCCGGAACTTAAGGCCCAAATAGAATACCTCGAAGGCAGGACCGCCGAAGTCCCGAAGGTATTCAAGCGCGCACTTGCGTCGTTCTTTCTACGAAACGGTCTTCTACAAAAGAAAAACTTTTCACCGCTTCGAGCTAAGTACCTCCTTGTGGTGCCTTCAGCTCTGCGACCAGAACTCCTGCAGGCCCTGCACGACGATCCGACGGCAGGGCACCTCGGTGTTTCCCGCACGCTCGCGAGGATACAAGAAAGGTACTACTGGCCAAGTCTTACCACCGACGTCACTCGTTATGTGAGGACATGCCGGGACTGTCAGCGACGCAAGACACCGCCGACAAGGCCAGCGGGACTTCTGCGGCCAATTGATCCACCTTGCCGACCTTTCCAGCAGATTGGTATGGACCTACTGGGGCCGTTCCCGACGTCGGCTTTCGGAAACAAGTGGATCGTGGTAGCTACCGACTACCTCACCCGCTACGCCGAGACAAAAGCCCTGCCAAAAGGCAGTGCATCCGAGGTAGCTAAGTTCTTCGTCGAAAATATCGTCCTACGTCACGGCGCCCCGGAGGTCCTTATCACCGACAGAGGAACGGCCTTCACTGCCGACTTAACTCAAGCGATCTTGGCATACAGCCAAACAAACCACCGCCGGACGACAGCGTACCACCCACAGACCAACGGCCTCACCGAGCGGCTTAACAAGACGATCGCCGACATGCTGTCAATGTACATCGATGTCGAACACAAGACGTGGGACGCCATTCTTCCGTATGTGACCTTCGCATACAACACGGCGGTGCAGGAGACGACGCAGATATCTCCATACAAATTGGTCTACGGAAGGAGCCCGGCAACGACGCTCGATGCCATGTTACCCAACGTCACCGACGAAGAAAACCTCGATGTGAGCGAGTACCTTCAACGCGCCGAAGAAGCCCGACAACTTGCGCGTCTCCGTATCAAGAATCAACAGACGACCGACAGCCACCGTTACAACCTTCGACGACGCTTCGTGGAATACCAGCCCGGTGAACGTGTTTGGGTGTGGACGCCGATACGCCGACGTGGACTAAGTGAAAAGCTTCTGCGACGGTACTTCGGACCGTACAAGGTGGTTCGACGTCTCGGCCCACTTGATTACGAGGTTGTCCCCGACGGCATCACGAACTCTCAACGACGCCGATCGCGACCTGAAGTCGTCCATGTCGCGCGCCTCAAGCCGTTTCATGCACGTTAACAAACTGAAACAGTGTTTTTTGTATTATTGTTGTATTGTAATTTATTCATTGTACTTTCTTGCATTATTATTGTACCTTCATCTTTAGTTAAAGCTTCGGGACGATGCCTTTTTTTTCAGAGGGGGGCAATGCCACGTTCCATTTCCCAAGTTTTTGTTATCGTTCCGAAACACCACACGATTCTCGGCGCAAACCGCGCCTGCAGGTTTCGAGAAGGTTCTGGACTGTAGTAGATCATTTCGATAAGATCACGCCCACTGTGCGAACGGTACAGATTGTTCTGGAACCTACGCCACCGCCAGCGATAACGCTAGAACATTCGACGGCAAGGGTATAAATGCCGACGCGCTTCGCCGCTTGTCAGTTGTTGATCGAAGGCCGACGCTGCGTTCGCCGCTATCAGTCCGAGACTGCTATCTGTGCAAGACTGCTGCTGTAATTAGACTTTCCCTTTACCGGGCACAGGTTCGCCCAAATAAACAGTTAAATCCCAACACGAAGTTTCCTGTCTTCGGCCACGTCACGACCCCGTGACAATATAAAGAAGGACGTGGTTGAGATGTTCTCCGCCAGGTGCCGTGATGAACACAGCTTCTCCCCAATCTTTCTATAAAATGAATGAATTATCATTAACTATCCTGACAATTTATTAGCCTAACTAAAATTATGCTCCGATATTATATATATCGAGTCTTGACCAGAACCATCAGTTTGTGCTGTTTTTTGAAGATTTTTTCTTAAATATCGGAAAACCAAAAGTGCTTGACCGGAACTGCTTGAAAGAAAAACAAGGGTGCTAATTCGTGATCGTGCCATAAGAGAGCAGCGCACGACGGGACATACCTTGCTAGATTTCTACGGCTGTCCCGAGCATTCGGAAATGGTATTTTACTTGAAAATATTATAAGTGTACTAGCCTTAAAACACTCGTGTCTATTGTTATGAGAATCGCGCAACTATTTTTTCTTCTGTTGGATAATCCTATTCTGATAGAGTCGATGATGTAACGAGCCGACAAATTCACTACCAAGAAATCAACCAACCACTCGAGATATAACTTTAGTGTTATTTATTTAAACTTATTACGCTCGTGCGCGCATTCTTAGCGCACTGTCAGCGCCCCTGTGCGCACACAGCGAGGTAACATTGTTCTCGGCCTGTTGAGCTGCGTACAGAAAACAGAAAAAAGGCAGAGAACGAGCACGACGAGAATAGACAGTAGAACGTGATTACATGCAAATTCCAATTTATATTTTGGCTAATATAGCAAAAAAAAAGAAGAAGCAATGGAACAATGTTCGAGAAGAGCTCGAATGACTCGCTCCGTTGATTTACAGGGTAAGAATCTCGTCAGGGGTCTTCAGCGAATGACTCATTTCCAATTAGCGCTAATGAAGAGGCGCGTCCCGTTAAGGAAAGTGGATCCCGGCTCACTCTCTGTGCGGTACGTGACCACGGCCACAGTGAGGTGTATCTGTCCCGGATATGCCTCGGGCGCCGAGCTGATGGAGTAGAAGCGCGGCTGGATCAGAGGCAGCATGCACAGCAGCAGCTCGGGCGTCGGCTGCACCTGAAGGAAACTCCTCCAGCAAGTCCAACAGGTGCGGGAACTTCTGCGCCTTCCAGTCCTCGTACCTCTCCAGATTCTGCAACCGCCCGAAATGTACTGGGTATTAGCGTTGCAATCTGTTAACAGGGAAGTGTAAATATATATGCTCCACAAAGTGATGTGATAACGATAAGATTGTTGTATTGTGTCTGGGGTTTTATACGTCCCAAAACTACGTCCTAAATTACAATTTGAGTGGAGGGCTCCGAAAATTCGACAATCTGGTCTTTTTTAACGCGCGCTAACATCGCACAACACGCGGGACTCAATCATATCGCCTCCACAGAAATGCGACCGCCACGGCCGGCATCGAACCCACGACCTCGGGGTCTGCAGAAGGACACCGTAGTCCCCGTGGAGGATACAAGCTCGTTCTTGACCACGCGACATACACTTGCGTAAATTTTCATTGATAATTCGGGGGAAAGTGCTATCGAAATGTTTTGGCATTAGCAACAATCACTTACAATTATCTTCAGAATATTGATAGCCATAACTACACAGCAATACCGAGTATTAGCCATCTGTACACATGTCGGGCGAGTAAACCCGGTAGGCTTCACGTAACCTTGTAAATATTTTGGCAGCGTCCCTCTTGATTGAATCGGCTGTGCAATATGTTTCTACGTTGTCATCGAAACATATCTGCTGCTATAAAGACTCTGAAACTAAATATTTCAGGTACTATCATCTGAGGCTGTCTACAGCAACTCGTTTGCTGTTACCGAACGGAATCAAATAAGGTGAAGCTGATCATATTTAAAGGGGCCCTGCAACACATTTCAAGATTATAGTATGAACGAGCTATTGCCTTACGTTGCTCCACGAATGTCCAGACATTTTCTTTTGCTTTTACTGAGTTCATTAAGAATAGGGGAGGGGGGGGGGTACCACTCAACACGAGCGCTTTCTCTGTGCTCTCATCACCACCTTTTGCTATAGAAACTATGCACAGGGGGCTGGTTGTGACGCCCAGAACTTAGTTCATCATAAGTTATCGTTCTGAACATTTCATTCTTTCGCTTTCATTTCACCGCATTCGTCAGTATACTTCTGGTTTCGGCGTGCGTGCCGTCTGTTGGTGCGGAACCTCCATTTTTTTCTCGCCCTAACGACGCGAAAACAATTACTCGAACGTTGATGAGCCTACGTTGCTCATTAGTTACAAGCGTCGAGTCATGTTCCTCGCGTCTCTTATCGTGATTCTGCGCAGTAGAGAGGGATAATAAGACTGATCACCGAGCGCGTGGCGCTTCTCTCACCGTTGCGAGCGTCTGCAGCTGTTCCTGCTGGCGCTCGTCCGAGGCCATGGCTGCCAAGTATTTGAGCAGCTCCTGCGATGCCGGCGTCGTGATGTCCAGGTAGCGGTGCAGGGCTACGCGTAGCGAGCACGGAGGCAGGCGTCCGTTGTCTTGCCACGTCTCTTTTTGCTCGCCTACGCAGGGAGACGTAAACGCAATGTGTGGTAACAACGCCTATACGTAGTTGAAACACCCGCACGCAGCTCAATTGTTGGATTGAGGTATGAAGGAAGGCGAAGTTGCTTTTATAACAACAGATATGCACTCAGCCAACATTAGCGAGTGCTGGCAGTACGCGATCAAATAGGGTTATGAAAATAGATGAAAAAAGGACACAGTTTCGCCACAAGGGCGAAGCAATGAATGCGATAGCAACCACTTGAAATGTAATGCTGCCAACGGCTAGCACATCGAAACGTGCAGCGCGCTGCTCACGCACAAATGACGCAGAAAACAACCCACACAGGACGATAGATAAATAACAAAGCTCACAGATCGACGCTTAACGCGTTGTTTAAACAAAAAAAAAACGACGCACGAAACGTAATCCCAGTTGCAGATATGAGTACGAACTAACAAGGGTCGCAATTGCTACTTCTCTGTGTTTGAAAAGCGCGCTATTTTTGCAAACGAGGCCTGTGCAGATAGTGAAGTGATCTTTGTGCGCCTGGCCACTGAAAGATATCTTTCCGGTGAAAGGCGAAGGTGCGCGATTTTCCCCACCGAAGGATAAGCGCACGCACATAAACACCTAACCCCTCCTCCCAATCCGCGGGGAGAAGTACGCGTAGAAGATAAGCGTGCGTTGGCGCATCACGACGAGCTGGGAGCTGAGTGCAGATGCTTATACATATAAGATGCATGACGGAGGTGGCGGGGGCGACGGCAAAAACCAGCTGAGACTGTTCATATATCACAAAAAAAAACGTATTAATAAACACAGAGACAGTAAGCGGAATACGCACAAAAAACTTCGCCTTAATTTTTTTTTACGCTTTGGTTGCCCCAAGGGCTTTCATTTCTCACATAGTGTGTGCCCTCTCCAGTGAATATGTATAGTTTGTCCTACGAAGCACAAGATGGAAGCATGTTTGTACCTATTCAGTGGTGGATATACCTGGAAGCAACAATTGTCGCCTCTAGAAGCGGCGAATGCACGCCCATTCACCAAACTTAGGAGGCGCTTCGGTGACTTGAGAGAACCGAATGGGGCCACTTTTCGAGATGAGGAAACTAATACTTTCAAGTGGTCAAACTAGTATCGAGAGAAAGCGAGCTTTATAATCATTGCCGTAACAACGCGATATCACGCACCACTTCAACCTTATCTTCTCATGTCGAGTTGACTGACGCCGACCTAGTCGGTGATCCATCACAACGAATGAACAGCGCAGATGTCTTAGAAACTCACAACTGAACATTTATAATCTCACGCTCGCCGCTTAAATAAACCGCCGAAATGGCCGGAAGCGAAGAAACGTTTTAATTTCGAGAAAGGACCGGCATGCAATGCGAACATGAAAACAGAAGAAAAACCACCGAGTGGCTTTATACTTACGTCGTTCGAAGAAACACATTAGGAAACATCAGTGTGAGAAAAAAAATGAGCAAGAAAGCACTTGATGAAAGTGTTGTGTTGTTGCGTTTTTTTTTTTTGATAACTGAATCCAAAGAAAATCAAGCAAAAAAAAAATGCAGACAAGCACGAAACAAAATACATTCAAAGCTCACCCTAGTCGTTTCATTTCGTCCTCGTAAGGTTTTTTTCTCTTTTTTTTCTCTGTAGTACAGTTACTATACAAGGAGACTCTACGTGAGAGGAGATTGTGACAAGAGAATACGTCTTTTCTGTTCGGATCCCATCGTCCGGAACATTTGCTGAATTTTGGTCACGCTTTTTACAGGCCCATATACTTTGCTACCACAGTTGGTTCCAAACACGTTTCGATAAATAAACCGTGAAAAGACAACTGCTTATTTATTTTTTTGTCACATTGAAGACACTAATTTCTTGGAAATTCTGTAGTAGCACTGCGAGGAAGCTGAAACTCAATTTTTTAACTATAAAAAAAGAGAAAAAGGATAAAATATTGATAATTATATACGATCGATAGACAACATTCTAGCAGTACCGATGATGGGATGAGATGACCAACAGAAAAATCAGCAAAAGCCAGTAGCCGTACACTGTCCTGGAAAGTTAGAGAGATGATAAGTTTCAGAAGGTTAGGTGATATATTAGATCGCAAAGAAATACAAGGCACTCTCTCGAAAGACTGGAAAAGCCGAAAAAGTGAAAGACGATTCGTCGAGGCCCGAAGAAAAAATTTGAAGTGCACATTATTCGCTACAGGTCTTTGTGGACCGGCAAACAGCGCAGCTGAAAGTGTTGCGCGGAACACACTAAAGCCCTCTTCCAGGCGTTTTTAGAAATAGTTTCCCGCCGTTTCCTGTGAGTGACAGGGAGAGTTTTTCAAAACTAATCTGCAATAGCTAAGCAAGGCAAGAGATTTTTTTTCAAGCTGATGCCAATGTAGAAGTTACTGTCCCCGCTTGCGTTCAGTCTATATATACTTTAGGGGCCGGAAAGTGATTCGTTAAGTCTATATATACTTTAGAGGCCCGGAAAGTGATTGCATAAATTTCTGAAACAAATGGAGGATGATCTAGTACTGGAGCATAATGCAATAAATAATGTGATTAAACACGCTATCATGCATGCGACGATGAAGATTATTGTTATGATAAACAGTGTAAACCAAGTGAAGGCTCGATCATTTTAAATGCTAAGAAAAAGTTGCAAGGCCCCTATGCCGCTGGGCTGAATGTCGTAGGATATCCCCTAGGCAGTGCCAAATAACTGCCCAGGGATGAGAAATATAACTTAGCTGTACCCCCACACGCTGCATGCGTATGACATAATTTCCGGTCAGGTGACCATGGCCCTACACAGTGCTAAGCTTTCATATGTCGGACGTGTGATGAATGAAGGAAAATTTGATACAAGTACTGCTGCAATTTTATCACTGCGATTGAGTGACACATACAACACCTTTCATTAACTTTAATTATTTAGGACAACCTCATTCCAGGCAGAATTTACGGGAACCTAATTAATGTAATGCTGTTTTCCAGAAACTGCTCGTGTCTAGCGGTTGCGCTGTGAACTAGGAAAAGTGACGTATAGGTGACGTCACACGCCCTCGAAACGGGCAAGTCAACAATGCCAGCCGTCGCCCGTGTCTCTCGAGTCGTTCAACTTCACACTTAGGTTCCCAAAAGCGCTGCGAACAGCAACAGCAGCGAACAATGCCTCCAGCTGGGGCAAAACACCAGCGCTTTCGTGTAAGAGAAAAAGTGGGATGAGAGGAGAGGTGGCAAAAAGGAAGAGGATGATAGGAACACATGCATCCAGTGTGACGTCACGGCTCGCGCTCGCGAGCTGCCGCCGACCGTTGAAAATCCGACAGAAATACAACCAACTGCTTAAAAAAAATTCAGCAGATCCCACGTATCTGGGAATCAACTTTATGCGAGGCACGCGGAGGGAACGTGGCCGTGTTGCATTGTTTTATTGGGCGACACATGATGAAATGCTAAATATATGTACAAATGTTGCACGCAGAGACATATGTTAAAGAGTTTCAGATGTTTATATAACCAGTATTTCACTTGCACAACAATGTGAACTAGAAATCTGTTTTAGCAACACCAGAAGCTGATATCAAGCGCTGATGCTCTCGAAGATACTGGCCCTTGACACTGCTACATAAATCAATTTCAGCGCATGGCACCTCACCACAAGTGACGTTAACCCGAACGTGATGGCTGCATGAAAGGAGTACATATGTAATATTTACAAAATTTTGGTAGGCAGCGCTGCAACCAGTTTTGACGGTTCACGGTCTATTTAAAAAGCAGTTCCGGGACCTGGAGTAGCTCTGTTGGAGAATGCTTGATTGCCACGCAGAATGCTTGGGTTCGATTCCTGCTGCGACCATGAAATTTATTAATTGCATTTGTCGGGTGGCCAACGCTGCTAATGTCAGGTTTTTGTCAACACTGACATTTATTCTATATGCCTTCGTTGGGTCGTCGTTACCTATGTCGGGTATGGTATTGCTTATTGCGCACGCGTTACAACTGCTCATGTGTGTTCTCGTCGTTCTTGTGTAGATACCAAGTGTCAATCACCTGTGGCTCATACCCGCTTACCAGCGGCACATACCCGCCCGTGAGTATGTGCCACTGTCTGGCAGGAAGTGTTTGACGACGTACGTGACGGGATGGTGACATTATTCATGTCTTCACCAGCGTGTAACATTCTTCAAACCTTCTTACCCTTCCATGCTGATTTTGGTTCATGCCAAGTTAAGGGGGTGACCACAAGAGCACCCAAACGTAAGCGTCTAGATAGATAGATAGATAGATAGATAGATAGATAGATAGATAGATAGATAGATATATATATACGCCCAAAGTCGCTGAAGTTCACTTTTTTAAGAATACGAGAAATCACTTCCGTTTATCGGAACAGTGGCATCTGCCCAGTGGGATTTTGAAGTTTCGTCAGTTTTTCTAATTTTTGTACAGTATCCATTTGAAGAACTCGTTTCGCAGATATTTTGGTGTCAGTGTCAGTGTCGGCATCGTTGGTTGTGATCAAAAAATCATCTTGTCCTAGAGCGAGAAAATAATGAAGATGCAAATAAAATAAATAGTAAAAAATTCGGCCTGAATGAGAATCGAACCCCAGGCCATCTGCTGGCGAGCTTGTTCTAGCACAGAGCGATGGTATTGAACGAAATCGATTAAAAAAGCACACACACTGGAAATATGAATGTCGTATTGCGGAAGAAATCACCTTAAAGAACGCGAAATTGCGTGGCGGAAGCGTAGAATCATGCCAAGCGTGAAACCATGCGATTTGCGCGACGAGTGGGTGTTCTATAGGCCCACCCATCGAAAAGCGCTCAAACGCAGGGCCCCGCCGCGGTGGTCTAGTGGCTAAGGTACTCGGCTACTGACCCGCTAGTCGCGGGTTCGAATCCCGGCTGCGGCGGCTGCATTTCCGATGGAGGCGGAAATGTTGTATGCCAGTGTGCTCAGTTTTGGGTGCACGTTAAAGAACCCCAGATGGTCGAAATTTCCGGAGCCCTCCACTACGGCGTCTCTCATAATCATATGGTGGTTTTGGGACGTTAAACCCCACATATCAATCAATCAATCAATCAATCAATCAATCAATCAATCAATCAATCAATCAATCAATCAATCAATCAATCAATCAATCAATCAATCATCGCTCAAACGCACGTTCGCGTGTAGCCTTACGGATGCTGAATCGGAAAAAGGATCAATAATATCACAGTGAGCACCTAACACTCGTGCTTTCAGCTGTCATTCTAGTAATATTCGAAACATTTATACAAATGAGCATCATCATCATAGTTTGAAATGGTAAACGTTACGTGCAGAATCGTTCATTACAACGCGGCATGGTTGAGGCATGCACCGAAAACCGCCAGAGAAAACCGCAGCAAGCTATATCACTTGATAAGGCGATGCGCGCGTGTACTGATTACGTTATCGCGTTCTCGTTTTGATGGCGAACCTGAAGCGTCCCGCAAGTTTTGTGAATCGATTGATTTATATTTGGGGTTTAACGTCCCAAAATCACGATATGATTATGAGAGACGCCGTAGCGGAGCGCTCCGGAAATTTTGACCACCTGGGGTTCTTTAACGTGCGCCCAAATCTGAGCACACGGGCCTACAGCATTTCCGCTTACATCGGAAATGCAACCGCCGCAGCCGGGATTCAATCCCCCGACCTGCGGGTAAGCAGCCGAGTACCTTAGCCACTATATCACCGCGGCGGGGCAAGTTTTGTAAATGAAACAGGAATAGCGTTAACAGGGACCTCTATTAGGGCGGGGGGGGGGGGGGGGATTGGAATTTTAGCGCTACGCACATGCCCACGTGCTGATTAACGGTTTCTTTCCTCTTTTGTCGCTCCTCTCCTTCCCATCTTTACGCTCTCCCTCTCTCTCTCTCCCTCAGCGTAGTTAGTGAGTCGCACTGGTATCTGGCGAACCTGCCATGGCTTCCTGTTTTTGCATTCCTTCATTTTCCTCCTTAGCGGCAGCGCTTGACTTACCGACAGATCTTGACTTGCCACTTGCCTGCCTGAACAAGGGCGTTATTTATTTTTCTATTAGTCACATATTCGCACAAAGATACATACCCCAGATCGATGTTACTAGGGGAGCAAAAACTGGACACAAGGAGAAGCAAGTGGTGATACCACAAACGCTGGCAGTGCAAGCCAGTCTGGCATGCACCAGTTTTCGCGTCTTCAGAAGGTGCAGAGCCCAGTTTACTTCAACGCGATTAGGCGTCAGTAAATTTAGATGTTCATGCATAATTTAGAAAGACATTGGTACTGGCCGAGTTCTGTGACTAAACATTCGGCCATACATACGTTCACCGATTCCGTGTCATTTCTGTGTTCGCCAACAATTTTCGCATGTTGTGTGTGGCGCCCCTTTTTTATGGTTATAAATGAAATGACGTAATTAATATTCAGAGAACTACCAGTCTTTTTTTTTTCGAAATGAAGATATGTGTGTCATACAACATGTGCATTTAGGAACAAAGGGTAATTTAACAGGACGATCACGAAAACAATAGCGAAAAATGAGCTAGCACAAAGCCTAATACTATTATTGGCACCAGCAAGAAGAACCTAGATAAAAGTTTGTGTGGGCACACGAACTGAAAAGTCTGTAAAACCTATCGTATTTATGAAGCAATGACCAGTAGGAAAAATAAAAGTCTTAGTATTCACGTTTTCAAAAAGTATGGCTCACCAAACCAAGCAGTTTCATTACGTTGACAAGTAAACGAAGCATGGTTATTGTTATCCGCACTGTTCTTCTACACCACGCTTTTTTTCCCCTATATTCATTGAGGTCTTCTCAACGACTTGGCGTCGCCTTTTTTTCTCGGTGCCGCATTACTGAGCATGGCTTTGCCTCATCGCGGGCATTAATGCAGTGAAGCCCACTTCGAAGTTAGGAAAGTCCCGGCGTTAGGCTCGCCTTAAACACTGCCACCTGGGTTGAGGCTAAGCTGCTGCATAATGACTTGGGCGCGTTAGCTAGCCACTAAACTGAATGCAAGTGATCAGATACAAAAATACGTAAGCGCCAAGGTATGTAAATACGAAAAAAGAAAAGAAAATCTACGTGCATATAAATACAAAATGAGTACTTGTCTTGCGTCATAGGCGCCACGTGTCCGCTCACGAAGTTCTATAGCTTGTTCGAAAGGAAGCAAAAGCACGAGTCCTTAGGTACGGGCGAGCTTTAAGACGCGAAGAACAGCTAATCAGCCTAAAATGAGAATGACAAATGAGGCAGGACTATTTAAGGGAACGATGTGGAAGCGAAGGGCGCCGGGGAAAGAAGACGAAGAAAAAGGCGAGAAATAAAGGTTTGGGAGATTTCGAAGTAAGTAGTTAAATCTGGATAGAGATTAGGGACGATAAAGGTTACAAATAGATGGGGAAAAAAAGAGAGCTGCGAAACGCGAAGACGGAGAGGAATGTGTAGGACAGCTAAATCGGTTCACGGGTGAAGAGGCGACTTACGGTATAGAACAGCTGCCTGGCTATTTGCAGACGTAATAGGTGACAGTAGCATAACCAGCGCTTTTTACGGGGGGTGTATTTCAGCCGGCCGAAGTTTGTACTCCCGTTTTTAAAGAAGGTTTTCTTCGGTTCTTTTTGATACTTAGCTCAGATTGATGCTAGTGCGTGTTCGTTCGTGCTTAAGAAAGAACAGAGAGCGCAGAAAAAAAAATTAAATACACAGAAAACAGCGATATATCTATGCGTATTTCTGTGTGTTCTGTGTTTTTGCGCTTTTTAATCTTTCTTATCTTCGATATTGTTTCGGGATAACATCTAAAACGACCTTTAACCAGTGTCATCCTCCCCTTCGCCCATACTCCCTATATCTTTTAAACTACTACAACTCCGTTTTTTACCCAGCCGTTTCTGGAACTGGCATACTTTTCTGTTTCTCTAATATTTTCGGAATCCGACGTGGACAGCTCAAATAGGTGTGCGACTACCACGAAATGTTCGGTGAAACGGAAATATTTATAATTTACTGGTGAATCGGAGGCAAACGCCAGAGAAATGCGTGAGCATTGCCTTCAATTTTTATTTTTTATGCTTTATACATGAAATAGCCTCAGTGAGGCTAGTTCATGTATGGTATAAAAAACACAAAAAGTTATCAATATGTTTTTGTAAATCATTTAAAACTTTGCGAATGCATGTTTTTAGGTAACGCGTATCAGTTTTAAATCAGAAAAAAACTGTATTTATAATAGTCAGAACATGTAAAAAAGGCTGAGATATTTAGAAAATGGTGACTACCTCGTTCATAACAGTTTGCAGAAAGTGAGGTAGTTATCCACAGAAGGGAGGAAAAGAAAGCGGGGGTTATTAAACATGCAAATGAATCATTTTTGATTGCAATCACTTATATTGACAGCGAACAGTTAGTCAAGAGAACTGCTACGCAACAACAAACGTGTTAACGTAAGTGCGTACTTGAAAGGCAAGGGAATGCTACAGATCTAAGCTTTCTCTCAGCCTACCTTGTGAAGTCATTAACCAGTGCAGGCACTGTATTCTCACAAGAGAGTTCTCTAATGGAAAAAAAAAAGAAAAAGAAAAGTCAAAACGTGGTTTTTGAAAGTGCCGTTCTCACGAGCATTACTCTCATTTAAAGAAGCGAAGACTGTCATATTCTCCCTTTACTGTGCGAAAGTACTACTAAAAACAGCTTTCCATGTGCATTACAGGTCGTTGGCTGAATTTCTGGAAGTATCCAGGCGCAAAAAAAAAAAAGAAAAAAAGAAAGAAAAGAACAGAAGCCTACATGCGATGTATACTTGAGGTGGGCGCTACAGAATCCCTGAAAGTCAAAAATTTTCCGGACCTATGAGATAGCCGTATACGTAGCTCATTATGGTGCATGCTTCAAGAGGCTAAGAAACCCGTCCCCCCCTTTTTATTTCCTACAAACATGCAAGATGTGACTTATGCGCAACAGACAACGGGACTAATTACGTACAGGAGAGCTCTGACTATCTCGACGTTGACTATGGCTGTGCCCGGTATATATATTTTTTTTCCGTTGTCCACGCTGTTTTTTTCACAATAATCACGAACCAATCAATCAGCTCACCTAAGAAACTTTGTGCATTATATACAACACTCGTGCATGAGCCCTTGTGCATCCAATATGTGGTTACCGCAAAAATAATACATTCTTGCAAAAAAAAAACAACAACTTGAATGATTGTGCAAGTACAAGTGCGCGTCCCGGAATGTATGCATGTGCAATGTTGTGTTCATGAAAATGAACATTCATAATACAGTTTGAAATATCGGGCTTACGTATTGCGGCACTTGAGGTACATATTTACTTGGCATATGTGTATAATAATGTGTTCTATTTACAGTCGTACTGCTTTAGGTAGCAGTTTACTTTGAGTTAGCGATAGTCCGCTTACATGTTCTTCATTTAGCACCTGGCAAGGTGTACTATCGTGGGCAATATGAGCTCGAACACGCAAGCGCGCGGCAAATGGCTTCAAAACCGAGATAACGCGATGCGTGGATGGCGCTGCCGAAACAGTAGGGGGAGAGGAGGGCGCTCTTCCACTGACTGTTCGCACTAGGCATGCGTGTTGCTCTGAAACGGCAGCTGATCATGTGCCATCGGCTGCTAGCAATGATAACACTAAAGAAAACGCACCGAGAACAAAAGTGAAAGATGTTCATGGCTGCGCATCAAAATGTTCAGCGAAGCACGGCCTGCGCATCACGACAGGCTACGTCACAGCCGATATCTTCGTAGCTGCACAGCCTGATTGGTTGTGGCTGTGCGCGTTGATGTGAGGTCATGTCCCCGCCAGCAGCCACGGACATGCTGTAAGCTGCATTTTTCAGCAACGATATCGAAGCGGGAGTGTCGACAGCAAGGGGAAGTGCGCCACCCTTTCCACTTTGATTCTGAGAGCGGCCGCTGCGAATCAGCAGATGTGGGGTTCGAGGCTATTCGCCACGCGCTCATATCGCTCACGATAGTACAATTCACACTAAAGATATAACCACACAAGCTTGCTATAGCCACCGAATCGATTGATTGATATGTGGGGTTTAACGTCCCAAAACCACCATATGATTATGAGAGACGCCGTAGTGGAGGGCTCCGGAAATTTAGACCACCTGGGGTTCTTTAACGTGCACCCAAATCTGAGTACACGGGCCTACAACATTTCCGCCTCCATCGGAAATGCAGCCGCCGCAGCCGGGATTCGAACCCGCGCCCTGCGGGTCAGCAGCCGAGTACCTTAGCCACTAGACCACCGCGGCGGGGCTATAGCCACGAATAAGTGTGTGTGTGTGTGTGTGTGTGTGTGCGTGTGTGTGTGTGTGCGTGTGTGTGCGTGTGTGTGTGTGTGTGTGTGTGTGTGCGTGTGTGCGTGTGTGCGTGTGTGTGTGCGTGTGTGCGTGTGCGTGTGTGTGTTTAAGGCGAAGTTTAAGCGTCCCCCAATTTTCTTAGGTTGCCGCAGTACATAATTATATATAAAAAGAAAACTACCGTATGGATATAAACAGTAAACACAAGAACTCTGCTACACGTACACGTCATAAAGCACACGCTATATTTATTTATTTATTTTCACATACTACAGCCGCGCTACAGGGCTATCGCAGGAGTGGGTACAGAACAGGAGATAATATTAAAGAAAAACCGAATGTAGGTGAGCTAAATCCGCACATGCGACGTGCCTCCTGCAATGTACGCGACGAATATGTTTTTTTGGTGCTTATTAAAAGAATCCACGGAAGCGGCGTTCACGCAGGTGCTTGATTGATTGATTGATTTGTGGGGTTTAACGTCCCAAAACCCCCATATGATTATGAGAGACGCCGTAGTGGAGGGCTCCGGAAATTTTGACCACCTGGAGTTCTGTTCACGCAGGTGCGTTAGGACGATTTCTCTCCGATCGGTTCTGTTCTATTGTTTGCACGTTTTTCATTTTTTTTTGAATAAATTGCTGAGTGCTGCAGGGTGCACGAGAGACTTAATCCGCTTTTTGCGAGTCGTGCCGTGTACGGCATTTACCCTCATGACGTAGCTGTTCTCAGACAAAGGAGGGGGCTTATACTATTCATAAAAAAACTTAGCCAGAGCTGTAGCGTCGACGCAACTGTATATTTCGGTACTTTATGCAGTTTGATTGGCTAGTTGTAACGCTGTACTTAGATTCACTTTTAGCGATTACGCGAAGTTTAAAAACAAAACGCACGCAGACTCGGAAGGAAAACAGGACAAAAGATCGCTGTTATTCATTGGAAGACCAGTGCCCTTATTGTCTTTTGTTTGTTTTTTCCGTGTTAGCATACCTTTTTCCCATCATCTTAAGAGCCTAAGCAATGGACGTGTGTTAGAGTTATATTCTCCGCGCTGAATCACGCCCTGTAATGGCAGTGTTTAGGCAGTATTTCGTAGCCAGCCGGTCTGAGAACTGGCCAACCTCCCTCGCCTTCCTCTTTCAATCCTCCTCCCCCCTCCTCCTCCTCGCAGGTTTTCGATGTACGCGAAAACCCGACCTTAATTTTTAGCAAACCTATTTTGTTTTTAGCAAGATTAATTTGAAGTATTGCTTTTCATCAGTTGCTATGCGGCGGCGCTCTAACAGAGCTATATAGCTAATTTATTTACCAGTCCGCCACGATGGTGTATATAGTGTTTACGGTGCTCAGCTGCCTACCAGAAGGTTGCGGGTTCGATTCCGGTCGGGGCGGTCGCATTTAGATGGAGATGAAGTGCAAGAGACCCCAGTGCTGTGCGATGTCAGCGCCTGTCAAAGAACCCCAGATGTTCAAGATTTCCGCAGCTCTCCTCCCGAGCAGTGTGCCTCACGATTTCATCTTGGTTTTGGCCCGTCGAATTCAAGTCTTCAAGTAATCCTAATCATTCTTATCGACTGCTATTGAACTGAGGAACGCGCACAATTTCATCTTGGTTTTGGCCCGTCGAATTCTAGCCTTCAAGTAATCTTTCTTATCGACTGCTATTGAACTGAGGAACGCGCTACCCGAAGACATATAATATGAAAGAGATTCCAATAAAGTCGGGAACATTCTCCCGCGTCTTCTTAAAGACCTTAATGTGCCGCCATTATCCAGTTATTTCGTGAATGACAGTCGTACTATTCTTTTGTAACTGCATTTACAACATTTGTTTTATACCTGTTGCACTGTCTTTATGCTTCGCCTTTTCAATTCAAACATGTATACTATATTTTTCAAAACTTTTTCCGCCATGGCATAATAATCACCATGCTATTACTGATGTTCTTCTCCCGCCTTATGTAATAGCTTAAAAAGAGCCTTAAAAAGGATGTATAAATGATATTATTATTATTATTAATATTATTATTATTATTATTATTATTATTATTATTATTATTATTATTATTATTATTATTATTATTATTATTATTATTATTATTCAATATTGCAAAAGTTTGCTATATCCTTTTTATTGTGCCGTAGTGAAAGAAACGGGACAAGTAGGGAAGGGGACGAGAGGAAGTCGCTGTTTGTTGCGTTCGGTTTTAACTGGTTTGTTACGGAGAGGTTTAAGTTTACACTAACTCAGCTGCTCTATTTTTGTAAGCTCTGCACCAATAAAAGAAAACAAAAGTGGTTACAAAACAAAATGAACAACTAAAACATATACCTCACTGAAACAATGTCATTCACACAATGCGGGAAAAGAATCGCTGCAAATAGAGCGATGAGCACAGAAAAAAACTAAGTATTATTATTATATTTTTCAGTAGACGGAGTCAGCCACGACGTTTTGGCGAGTATTATAGATTTGCTCGAATCCAAAGGAAGGCATACCCGTGATGGGATTCTGGACGATGTCTCGGTACTGGACCCTGAAGACAGCGTCCGGATCTGCCGACCCAGGCGCGAGGCGCTCCACGATGCCGTTGACGATGTCGTCCCTGTTGACAGCGTAGATGCCGATGTGGTCGCCCGGCGCGTACTTCAGCTCGCTGTCTCCGCTCGCCTCCAGCACAACCATGATGGTCTTCCTGCGCCGCGCCGGGAAAGGAAAACACTTCTGTTGCGGCTTGGAGAAGATTCAAAACTTCGCGCGGAAAAGCGCCAGGCCTGCGCGGAGCGCGCTGCACAGTCACAGCGAAAACATGAAGTGCGCCCTTTCAGAGCCTTTTCTAAACACTCTTTGGGTAACTGCTACAAACCCGCTTACAGGGTACCCGCTACAATAAATCATAATTATTTTTGTGTAGTAGGGAAGCATTCGTCATTTTTAGAAGAAGCGTGGCACGTGCTGGCTACACACTTGCAACAAATTTTGTGCAAATTTGGAATGATCTGACTGATGAGCTTTTGTGATGGTATGGAACATCGGACGACCCACTCATTATCACAATTCACATTGTGTGACGTCTGGCTGTTCTTTTGATGTTATAAAACGCTTTATTGCTCATATTAACACGATTCCTTTCCAGATATCAATGCTGCCTAAAGCCACTTTGCAAAGGAGTTTCAAGCACCGGCATGGCTCTGTGGTAGAATGCCTGCTGAGTGAATTCGAGTGAAGCAAAAGAATTTTTGAGGGTGTGTTTATTTCTCTGACAAAAACTTTATGAGAACCAGCAGATAATGTTGTCGATGATGTTATACAAAACGTTATTCGTAGTTTTTAAGCCTATTGCAGTAATTTCGATATAAATGTGGAGAAAGTTATGGGGGCAGTCACTGGCAGAGATCAAGCCTTGCTACCTTCGAACTACACGCCCTATGCTCTTACCGATTGAGTTACCGCGGTGGTCGTATCCGCGTCCTATTTAACGGGTATCTATGAGTACACAAACCTGCTATAGCGTTAGTCCTCATGGCCTCACTCATAGCCACGACGACGACGTCGTCAATGCACTTCGCGCATTGCCGGCGTCACGAATCAAGTGAAACGGCGACAGCGCTCATGTGCTAAGCACACCACTCTGTCCAAAACTGGAGTCGCGAAGCAAGCCAAACGACGACTGCTGCCGACGTGACACACTTGCTCTGGTCTGCCCGGGCCTTAAAGTAAGCGCGTCTTCTTCATCTCAGAACAACCGCTGACCGTGCCGGTCGCCCTCCGGATTTGCAAGGGTGGATAAGAGGACCTTTCCACCGATCCTTGTTAAAGTTTATGCGTGAGTGTAAATTGTTTATTTATGTGCGATGAGCCTCTGTTTTTTTTCTGAATGTTTGTTATGCCAAATAGCAGTATCGAAGTCTTTCGAATAAAAAAAAAATCACAGCGTGTAATCGGAGTGCATGATGATAAGTGGGGCGAAGCATCCATCCGTCCGTTCTTGCATCTGTTGGTGCAACCGTCCGTACGTCTATCTGTGCATGCGTCCGTCTGCCCGTGCATCTGTCTGTCCATCCAACCATCTGTCCGTGCATCTATAGTGATCCCTCCAAGTACCACTATTGGCATCTTTTCACCATATATTCAGCATACAGAAGTACCGCCACCCAGAGGACATTTCAATGACTAAACGAGAGGTGGCACTCGCGCACTTTCTTACGGCCTGCGTTTCGTGCCTACTTCCCGCCTTTCACCGCCTCTAGTTCATGGCTATATACTAGTTCACTGTATTCATGGCACTGCGGTCAAACCCTCGCTGACTCTGTATGTTTAAAAAGTTGTTAGCGATTCAGAGTACGAGGTATTCTGCTATGCGAGATCATAGCCGTGCCGTGGGCCTCGACCCAGTCCGTGTGTAAAGAGAAAGCGATTTACGATTTAGAGTACTCGGTACTCTACTCTGGGAGAGCTGACAGCCGTCCCTAAACAAAAGATGCACGCGTGTTTAGCAAAAAGTGGGTAACAATTAAGAGCACTTGGTACTCTACTATGGGAGAGCTTGAAGCCATCCCGTGGCCCTCAGCACGTTACAAGGGTCTGTCAATATTAAGGTGGCGACGCCCAACGAGTTTATGACCGTTTTGGGGTCAGGTAGTGTTCAAAGTGCGTCCTTCTGATGCTCGTTTTTTGTTTAGTAAGCATCAAATGCAAGGCAAATTATATGAGAGATTAAGTCAGCAATACTCGTCTCTGTAAACTATTTCGCCCAAAACAACTATCTTTTTATCTATGATTAACGTGCGCAGGATTGCTCCTCAATTGAAAAGGGTGCGCGCATGACACTCTAGTCCCGCCGTGGAGGTGGCTACCTACTACGACGACGACTACAAACATCGCGGACGCACAACATACGGCGTAAGGAGCTTCGTCCCCCCCTTCTCAAAAAAAAAAAACAAAAAAAAAACAACAACAGCAACGCCTGCAGCAGTGCACGCGCCCGAAGTTAGAGGCCAGTGGCTCCTCATACCGATGAACTCCGCGTTCGCTCTTTTAAATGCGAAGCATTTTTTGACGAACTTCGGCGGCTTTGAGCGTATCTATCTATCTATCTATCTATCTATCTATCTATCTATCTATCTATCTATCTATCTATCTATCTATCTATCTATCTATCTATCTATCTATCTATCTATCTATCTATCTATCTATCTATCTATCTATCTATCTATCTATCTATCTATCTATCTATCTATCTATCTATCTATCTATCTATCTATCTATCTATCTATCTATCTATCTATCTATCTATCTATCTATCTATCTATCTATCTATCTATCTATCTATCTATCTATCTATCTATCTATCTATCTATCTATCTATCTATCTATCTATCTATCTATCTATCTATCTATCTATCTATCTATCTATCTATCTATCTATCTATCTATCTATCTATCTATCTATCTCAATGGGAGAGGGTGCAGCGAGGCGTCGAAATTCCACGCGCTGACGCGCTGAAATGGGTGCGTGTGGTTGGGCCTTAAGAGCCGCGCTCTAATAACTGAGGCGCATTTCGCTTGTCAAATCCACGACATCGTAGAGGCAGGCCGTACACAGAGGGAGACTCCGTGAAACGCCGTACCGCTGGGGTCCTTTATTGTGCGCCTGCATCTGAACACCCGGGTGTTCTTTGCATTTCGTCTTCATCGAATTGCGGGCACTGTGGCCGGGAATCGAACCCGCGTCCTCGAGACGCTAGGATATCGCAGCTGGTAACGCCATAAACGAGGGACGATCGGCCTAAATAGCCTACCAAGCGACAAGCTATGGATGCTGGTGTATATGTTTAGGAGAAGGATGATCAAAAAGTAATATGCATACGCAGAGACTGTACATCTAGCTCATACGGAATAAACATTGCGGATAGCGCGGTAAACCCAGTCGATGAAGCATATATAGCTCTTTAGAAATGTGCTCTATTATAGCCGGTGCGGGTCATTGGAAACGTAAAAGCTTTATAGAACCAAACTAAGTCATATTTCTCGTCGCTAACGGCTGGTCTTAGCCGAATACCCCCAGTAATATGTCTCTATAGGCCACGCCACGACACTTACTCAAGATCGATGGACACGATTCATTATCTTCGGGATAGACGTCTGATCGTGACAAGAAACTCGTTGTTGCGAAAACATTAATATATTGATAATTAATATTCATTATTCTAGTTTATAAATCATGCACTTCCTGTTGCTTTTCAAATTTTCAGTTTTATAGTTTCGGTGTTTTTATACGCACACGGTAGCAGCGAAAGACGGGCTTTCTTACGCTCCATGGCGCGTCATCCGCAACAGTGACTAAATGACCGTCCAGACGATGCATTATGTCCGGCAGTCGCCAGACGGGACAGTAATTATGGAGCTTTATCTATTTTGCGCCACCCTAATTACGCGATTATATTGCAAAATCTCGAAAAGCTCTGTCATCAGGCCACACGGTGTTGCGACTCCAAATGAATGTTCGCTGTAATGCCTTAATCCCACAACTCGCGCGTAGGTTGACTAAATGGCCCGGATATCGGATTCTCACGCGTGTTTGTTCATTATAGCGGTGAAGCCTTATCTCACGGTGCCCGGCTGGTCAATAGAACGCGTCCTGTATACGAGGTAAGCAAAATGTACTGCAATGTTCTGATGCACACCTACTTCATGGCTATAGGACGGCTTTTATTCTGAACTCATGAGTCATGAAAGATCAGTCATAGAGATCTGCAATGTTGATCAGGTTTTTCGCTGAACTACTGCCATTCAGAGGACTCGTGAACGAGTCGGCAGGCATAAACGCTATCGCGTTCCTTTAGTATAAGTTTCATACGAATAGTGTTTCGTGTAGTAAAATAGCACTTTGTGTTGGTGTGTTGGTGCTGATCTCCGATGGGAATCATTGCACATACAGTCGTTCTTTCCTGTGTTCGTGCGACTGTATACGCACAACGTTTCCCATCACACTGTATCATGCTTACAAGATAAGCTTCAGGCTAACATATGAAACTTTGCAAAGACGGCAGAATGCGCCTAATGGATGACCAATCATTTGCACTGGGTTAGCTTACGGTGGGCGCCGATTTACTAACACCGGCTTGGTCACACACACACAAAGCGATAATATCTTCGGAAATCACCCTCGCCATTTTATTGTAACTACCTCGAATGGTCAAACACGATTGCAGAAATGTTTGGTGAAAGCTTCGAGGCGTACATTTGTTTTTGAAGGCCACAATAGGATGAAAAAAAAAAAACTGACATGCAACGTGCTTTCTACCCTCTCGTTTGCAGTGTTTGCACCTTCTGTTATATTTATTTTTAACTATATATTTTATACCTTTCAGGTTTTTTTTTCAGTAACTAGTCGGCATAAACGTATTATAGCTGTTTATTTGCATAAGCCAGTTGTCCTCGCATTAAGCAGCTTGCTTTCCTGGCTCTGAAGTGTATAAAGCAATACTGCGTATATTCTTCATCAAGAGGGGTTGGGTGCGGAATGCGAAGTTTAAACCCACCTCCCTCCCCCTGTCTTTATGACCTCCTGTCGCTAAGCCCCTGAACTGACCCGTGGTCGCAAGGCCTTTCAAAGACGACGTATTAAGGGGGGAGGGTGTTCCCCTCTGCCCCTTAGCGTGCGTGCTTGTGCAGCTGTGTTAGACATACCATAATGGGAAGCTGAATAATAAAAAAAAAATAACGAAGCAACGTTCATCGCTCGATAATAATAAAAAGCCAGACGCACTCATAACGCGAAATAGCGTCTTCGACATGGCCATTTTAGCGCACGTATAACGATAAGCATTCCTCTGTTCGGGGTTTCAACATACCTTTTATATCTGACAAGCTGAACAGCGCCTGAGCTCCCACCCTCTTTTTGATATGCTGTAAGAGAGAAGGGGCGCAAATAACGTGTTCCCACTGACAAGACAGAGGAGAAAGATGCCATTTGGCCGTCATGGTTCTCGCCACACGACAGGTAGACCAGATATCTCTGTGTAGGTCACGCCGCCGTCGCACATTGTTCCTTGATCACCGTCATTCGGCTATAGCTGTGTGAGTGTATTCGTGCTGCAATGAGTCCCAATTCGCTCTGGGCTCGACCGGGCCTTCGCGTGGGTCCAGCGAAACCGAGAATAATTTTCGAGAGACTGTGCCACGCAAAGAGGGGGGGGGGGGGGCAAAATGGTCAGTGAGCATTCATTGTTGGGCTAGTTGGGGCATTGCCTCAGGAAAAAAAAAATGTCCAGCCAAAAAATAATGAACACAAGAGAAGAAGGAGACAGGAAAGCGGCTAGCTCCTTCCTCGTTTCTTGTGTTTGTTATTTTTTTAGATGGATATTTTTTTCTACCGTAAGTAGGAGCGAAGTAAATGACAGCGAGAGGAGAAAACGAGAAAAGTAGAGTGTACTACACTCTAATAAGAAAAAGATGCGAAGTGTGAACCACGCCATCGTCTTTAAGACAGCGCGTAATCTATTAATATAATGAGAAAACAACGTGCTGGTCCTGAGGATCTATCAAGAAAGACAATAAAATAGGGATACGCTTTTCCTTTTACTCAGTTGCTACACAGCTAACAGGAGGTAATGTGTCATATTTCACTCCATAACATTTTAGGCAAACAAAAAAAGGAGGCGCTTGCTTTTCTTCAGTACAGAACATAAATGTATGTATGTATGTATGTATGTATGTATGTATGTATGTATGTATGTATGTATGTATGTATGTATGTATGTATGTATGTATGTATGTATGTATGTATGTATGTATGTATGTATGTATGTATGTATGTATGTATGTATGTATGTATGTATGTATGTATGTATGTATGTATGTATGCATGTATGTATGTATGTATGTATGTATGTATGTATGTATGTATGTATGTATGTATGTATGTATGTATGTATGTATGTATGTATGTATGTATGTATGTATGTATGTATGTATGTATGTATGTATGTATGTATGTACAATATATATGTCTGCAAAAGATACATCAATAGGTACGAATGGGTATAAATGGGTAATATACGGCAAACCTTGTGCTGAAAATGACCTTTGTCTTCAGAACGAAGAATCATGACCATTAAGGCTCTTATTATACCAGCACACTTTTAGTCTCATTTGAAGCTTTTTTTTTATTCACGAATTTGAGAGAGACAGTGAGGAAGGACTAGAAAAAATATGAGCTGTTGCGTACTGCTGCCCTGATCGAAAAATAAAACGTCCCCGATAAATGAGCAAGTTCCAACTCACTTGTCGTCTTCCTTGTCCCATTGCAGAACCTTCCTGGACACCAGCTTGCTTGCGACGACTTTTCGACTGGAACCCTTGGACAGACCTGTGGCGTGGGTGAAAGCATGCAACAAGAACCTACGACTACCCGCGTTCAACTCGTATATGCTGATACGGTGTGTCGTGAAAGGAGCACTACGCTGCTCAGAAGAGGGGGAGGAGGAGTAGAAGGAAAAGAAGGAGAGAGAAAATGGTCAACCAGACACGCATGTAGTTGGATATTGAACGCCAGTTGGGCGGAGGGGGGGGGGTTATGACGGGACTAAAAACTGCGTGATATAACGTTTCCTTTCGATAAATATGCTTCAATTGCGCTGTGTTCGAATGATTGCAATTCGGAGATAGTCATGTAAAACCTAGTTTCCTTCAAGAGTACTCGATCGCAGGCATTGACTGGATCGAAGAGAGAAGCCCCGCTGATGCTTACACTAACCACCCGGCAGGTAAGTCTATATTTAGAGTGTGCGCGCACGCGAGCGCGCGTGTGTGTGTGTGCGTGTGTTTGTGTGTGTGTGTTTGTGGGGGCACGTGCGTGTGCGTGCGTGTGCGTGTGCGTTTGTGTTTGTGGGGCCGTGTGCGTGCGTGCGTGCCTGTGTGTGTGTTTGTGGGGGCATGCGTGCGTGTGTGTGTATGTGTGTGTTTGTGGGGGCGCGTGTGTGTGCGTTCGTGTGTTTGTGTTTGTGGGGGCGCGTGCGTGTGTGTGTGTTTGTGGGGACGCGTGCGTGTGTGTGTTTGGGGGGCGCGTGTGCGTGCGTGTGTGTTTGTGTTTGTGGGGGCGCGTGTGCGTGGGTGTTTTTGTGTGTTTGTGGGGGCGTGTGCGTGCGTGTGTTTGTGTGTGTACTTGTGTTTGTGTGTTTGTGGGGGCGCGTGCGTGTGTGTGTGTTTGTAGGGGTGCGTTTGTGTGTGCATGTACGTGCGCGTGTGCATGTACGTATGTGTGTTATCGTGTGTGTGTGTGTTTCCAGCCATAGTTGTTCTGGCTACTTAAAAACTTTTGCACCACCACATATAAGTTGTATTATGTTGAAGGTTTTCCTATCTTGTAATTTCACAATACTTTTCAAACTATTTCATGTCCACTGTGGGACGAGACATTCTCTCTATGATACAGGATTGACCTGATTTTCTGCGGACTCGGTAAAGAAGGTATACTTTACTGTGTAAAAAAGAGAACATGCGGAAGGTAAGCTTGGAACCTCGCGATGACTCCACGGATCATCTCCACTTTTAGGAACACCCGAATAGACATGGCGAAGCAGTAGAGCAGAAGAAGCGTTATACCAACGTTACATAAATGCTATTGTTGAAATGCATCAATAAGTAGCTGTAGTAAGTGATCGTTTATTGGAAGAAACAGTTGCAGAAAAAAAAAAGTGGAAGAGACTGCAGGAAAGGAAGAAGTTAGCGGCGATTGTCGTTGTAACTGAAGCGCAGATACCAAAGGATATTGCAAGTGAGACCTGCGAAATCCTACAAGGTGTAGGTAGGGTTAAGGAAGACAAGATGACAATCACCATGTTCGTAGCGCGAAGTCATCCGCAATGCCACGAAGCCCCAGACCAGTGCAAATTTTTCGGGAACGACGGATGTGCTCTAATTCTAGATAGCATCGTAGACAACCTATGCTGACAGCTTCGACGGAAACATCGAACTCCAGTCATACTATAGTAACGAAACGTGTCTAGATGATGCCTGAGCGACATGATGCCACCCCACGTCGAGAAAAAAAAACTACGAAAAGAAACCGTTACTGTAATATTTTTACTTTCTTTCGTGTTAGCATTTATGAAAAATTTGCCGCAGCTCACACCTGCAAAAGCGTCTGCGTGTGTGCTAGGGGACTCTAACGGTGAGATCAAGCTTTTGGCTGAGCTTCCATCTTGTTTGTACCGCAAGTTAGCCAACGCCGCTTTTGTCATCGATGGTGCGTTCTTGAAGCTACTAGTCTATTTTGCCGGCTTCGTGAGAGTTGGAATGAGACTTACCGCTGTCTAGTTAGGCGGTCTATTTATCCATCTACTGCGAGCATTGGAACGCACCCTACGTAAGCTTTCTTTCTGAGAAACAGTTCTGTAGCTTCGTGCTGCGAATGGGTGGTCAACAATTTCACTTTCATATCGAAGAATGAGAGAGCAGTAATGGGAGAGAGAAGACAATGAGAGAGAGAAGAAAGTGCACCCGAACGGCGTAACATTCTACACAAGGAGAAAGAGTATGAAAAGACAATGAGCCTCACCGAACCCAAGGGGCGGGTTCTTGTCGGAGGCCTTCTGGAAAAGCCGAACCTTGTCCGGCGACCAGGCGATGTTCTCCTCCATCGATGGAGTCATCTCGATCGGCCCGATGTCGTCGCCCACGCAGAACACGTCGCACGCTTGCTGCGAGCGCAGACACGTGCGCCGTTCGTAAGCTTCGGGAACGTGATTCGCAAATAGCGCTGGCATTGGAACCACAAATGACAGCAACCCTATGCGGGAGCGTCTAACAGCCTTACAAAAGATAACAGCAACCGTACAAAGCTGAAGTTGTGCGAGCATACATTATTTGCCCTAGGGAAACAATTATCACGACCTTGGTGTTAAGGTTTCCATGCGACCAATGTTTTAAGGAATGATAAATGTGGCTTAACAAAGCGTTTTCTTGGGTTAGCTGGTTCAAGACTTCTGTAGTGGCGCCAGCCCCGCGTCTTTTGTCCGTCTTTGTGTTGCTTTGCATTACTATACAATCTTTTTTTATCAGTACAGGAGTTTCTGTCTTGCTTTTGAGTAAGCTGTACCGAACATGCTGACCTCACAAAAAATTTATTTGCGTAATAGGGCACTACATCGTCAGCGCTGCAAATGACTTTAAATATCAGTAAAAATAGAATATACATTCCGGTTCGAATAACTGAGGCCCTGCTGTACGTAAACCAGAACTCTGCAGTACGTGTCATGAGTGCTTCGTGATACCAGTTTTACAAAGAGCTCCACTGCAAGCGTTACTTCGTCGTTCGAGGTTTACGAATGGACGTTTTTGCCTATAGCCACCGTAAGCAATAAAATTGAGCGTGAACGTGAGAGGCACACCTCGAAGACCATCTTGGCCCACATGCGGAACGACTGTTCCTGGCCGCGCAGCTCGTCTCCGGTGGCCAACTTGCAGATGCGCTCGCCGCCCAGGTCTCCCAGGATCTTGTCCACGTACTTGCCGTACGCGCAGAAATTGGGATACGCGCTGGAGCCCAGTCCGAACACAGCGAACCTGCAAAGAGTGGGTCGCGTTGATACACCTTCGGAATGCAACAGTCATTCGCTCCCCGTGCGACACCAAACAAAGGTTCGACGTAGCCCGAAAAACACGGGAAAACGTATTGAAAGTGCACGGAGTGGGGTTGAAAAAACAAAAAAAAAGAAAAATATTCACTGAGAAACGACATTTGAACAAACCCGACACGGTGGTACAATGGTTGCGGGTTCGAATGCTGACCCGCTGGTCGCGGGATGGAATCCTGGCCGTGGCAGCCGCATTTTTCGATGGAGGTGAGAATGCTAGAGGACCGCGTGCTTAATTTAGCTGCACGTTAAAGAACCCCGGGTGGACTAAGTTTCCCGAGTACCACACTGCGGCGTCGCTCACATTCATGTAGTGGTTTTGGGATGGTAAACCCCAACATGTATCATTACATTTTTTTTACAAAAATCAACACTTGAACGGGCGATGACTGATATCAAATGCGACCACTGGCATTGTCTTTTGTTATCTTTGAGGATCTGCAGTCTTGGCGACTGAAAAAAGGCCTATCGAGAATGATCGTCATTTGTCCTGCAGTAAGCTTGAATAAGAGTGTAATGCTAAGCGGTTAGATGTGCAGCTTGTGCTATTCCGTGCTTACCATATGAGAGCAGATGACTATTGCTTCTTTTTAATCGTATACACAGAAGTATCACAACACCTTGAACGCTGCAAAGTAAACAGTTTCGGTGCTATCTCGGAGAAAGAAAAAAATATTAAAAATCATCATCGTCAGCCTGACTGCGCCCACTGCAGGACAAAGGCCTCTCCCATGTTCTGGCAGTCAACACAGTCCTGTGCTTGCTGCTGCCCACTTGATACCCGCAAACTTACTAATCTCATCTGCCCACTTGACTTTCTGTCTCCCCTCACCAGCTTACCTTCTCTGGGAATCCAGTTAGTCACCCTTAATTACCAGTGGTTATCCTCCCTACGCACTATGTCGCCGGACCACGTCCATTTGTTCTCTTTATTTCAACTATGATATCCGTAACCTTGGTTTTTTTTCCCCTGACCCACTCTGCTCTCGTCTTGTTTCTTAAGGTTACACCTATCATTTTCCTTTTCATCGCTCGCTGCATGTTACCTTTATTTCTCATTTACCATTCGTCAGTGCAGGGTATCAAACGAGAAATTTTCGTCTGGCTAACCTTCCTGCCTTTAACTTAATCCCTTTTTCTGTCTCTCTCTTCCCATACTATATAAGGTGCCCCACCTATATCTCAAGCTAGATGTAAACATATGCCGAAGCCCTTCATATGACGGGGTGACCAAACACATAATGCTGACTATTGCACTGATTAAACCAGGCCATTTCCTTTTTCTTCCTAATAGCATATTTAGGGATTCTTATTGCACTAAACTTTGGTGCACAAAAGCGGGAAAGGAATTCTAGTGAGTAAGTTGTAGGTCAGTTTGCAAAACGTCTGATCAGAGACCTTACGTATTTCTATCCTTTAAGTATCATTATATTTCTGCTTACTAAACATGCCCCCATAATACCTCACATGCTTGAGCACTTATGCACGCCGTGATTGCAGGGTTCCCTAACGTTCTCCGTGCAAACTACCACAGAACTAGGCCAGGTGTGCTGCCTCGACAAGACAGCGACCGATGTTGCTGGTGCCTGTGCGATGGCGCACGTTTTGCCAGCCACAGCACAAGCTATAACGGCTGCTTCTGCTTATCGCTGTCATCACCTGTCATGAGGGAAGCATATCGTTTGTACGAAAAATGATACGAAACAATGAAATCACCGCGATCAAGGCCTGCGAGCAGGTTTAAAGTTTTTTTCTTATTTTGTGGGTCACCCTATACTATCAATAATTATTATTCTGACTTGACTTACCAAACCCACGACCTACAATACGTTTATGAGAAACGCTGTAGTGGAGGACTAGGCTGTTAAATCAGGTACATTAATATACAAACCATCAAACAAATGACCTACATACTCTTGCTCGGCGAGTCGTGAAGAAATACACTATTTGGATCAATGTATACGTGCTACCTTCCGCGCTCAACGTAAATACTGGCTTCTGCATAATCCATGCTGTTCACCGTGAAACAGACACCCCCGCCCCCCTCCCCACGAACTTGCGCACTTAGAGGCACTATACGAGGAAAGCTTGCAACAACAACAACAAACGAAAACTCGTTTCCTTCGTTGCGTTCTGACTTTGAATTGCACCTTCTAGGTTGCCGGCCCGGTCATTTGCTATGCTAATCTGCCGAGATTAAGTTGTTACCGTCGAGCTAAAATCGGATGATGTACGAAGCCAAGAATGGGGTGCCTTGAGCTCGTGATCTTTTTCTTTGGGAAGATCAGAACGTGTTAAGAAGAGTACCGTGTAATGAAAAGCGAAAGAGGCTAGAGGAATAGCACGCGGGGCTTGATGGTTGCACACTGCAGATTTGGCTGCGAAAACAGGGAGGCAGCACGTGATGTCGCAACCGGCTTCTCTATCCACGCTTCGCGTTGGTTTCGTTTCGCAATGTGGAGAAAAAAAAAAGAAAAAAAAAACTTGGCGCCTCGATTCCGCTTTGCGCCTTCATGCTGGGAAGCGGATTTTCATTCCCGTGCTTACGAGCGCAACAACTTCCCTTGCTACCGGCAAGAACGAAAGTCTTGCCTTCATATGCAAGCAACAATAAAACGCGGCAACGGGAAATGAAAAGTGACCTCGATCGAAAGTCACACTAGTCACAAAGAGCTAATCGCCGACAAGGCCAGGATCAAGAGAGACCATCAATTATTGAAAAACTGGGCATACAAAATGCATGTTACTGGCGTACCTTCGCGAGGCAAATTTCACTGACGCCCGATTTTTCACGCAAGATGCCGAAATATGTGAGTTCACTTTAAAGAAACAAAAAAAGCCATTTTGTTCCCATTGCGCGAAGCATTGCCTACTCCAGTTCTCTCGGAAACCATGACCCATTTAACAGAGCTCCAATACACAGAGGTTCCTGTTTATTTTATTCCTCGAATACTGCAGCTGATTAGAAAATTTGGCCTACACCAGCAGCTTCACCAAGCAATATCTAGACACGACGCTTTTTCGTAAAACTGATAAGGATTCGAACAAAGAAAGTTGTCATCCACTATTTACATGCGAGTGACCTTCAAATTGAGCGCGAGGCAGTAGAGGCATTAGCGGCGTCCCTCGTTTCGTGCTGCACATCATTCGGATCACGTTTATTCACAGTTAGCTTTCCTTATCAGCACTTAAAACTGCATAAGAGGATGCCATACGTTTGAAATTTGATGCATCTTCACACACGCTGTGGCCTGGAAACTTCTGATAAGCGACTATGCACGTGGGAAAGGCATACTTCAAGCAGTTATTGTTCTTCGATACGAGAGTTAATACTAGAGTAATCCGACCATAAGAATTTTCGCAAAAAAGTTGTTGGGACCATGATCTCGAGAGACATGCGCTTTTGGCTCCACCAGAAAATTATATCTCATCTGGTCAGTTTCCGGAATTCTCGCCTTTTCTTTTTCTCTCCCCGACTATCTCTGGAAACAAAGATGCTCGCAGAGAGGGGAAAGGGTTAAAAAGAAAAGTGGCGCTGTTTCAAGTGACCAATAAAGAGAGCGATTGAAGTGCCACAGAGAAATAATCAGAAGAACAAAAAATAATAGAATATAGAGATTTAGGATAAAGAAAATAGAGACTTATGAGGGTTTAGGCGCTTCTCTGAGGACGAGCTAGCCGTTATGATTTAGACTTGACGGAACATCGCACATCGCGCTTACACAGTCACAAAAATAAGTGTTTGCCGTCCACTCTGTCCCAAGCGTTGGATATACATTAAAACTGACGGCGTTCCTCTTATTTGTGTGTCTAACTAATGCACTAAGAAGAAGAAGATAGACACAACAACTAAACGCTGTAGCTGTGGCTGTTAAGGATTGTTTATCTTGCTTGAGAGTGGCGCACAAAGGAGGCTCCACATATGGTAGTGCAATCACCGCGGTCAATTTTGAGTACACTTGCCGCCCATGCCCAAAACGAGATTTATGAGCCATTTCAGGCACCAGCCGTAAAAAAATGTGTGTAGATACGTCAGGCTGACAGATTCATTGAACTCACTCAATATTCTACTTTAATAACCATGTTATAGTAAATTGGTTTATGCGTGTTGTAGTAACTATTCGTAGTTGCATCGTAATTAAATATTTGTTTACACCGAAGACGCTCTATTTTTTTTCAAACAGAATCTAATCTCAAGCTAGAAATAAACTACCGATTCGTCTTTGGTTACGTCCATTTGGAGGAAAGAAAGAGCCCGCTTTTGTGAATACTTGCGGGAAGGGCCACGCCGAACTATTTGTCGAACATGGTAATGCTCTCAGAAATGGAGTTATATTTAATATAATACACTGCAAAATGAAATTAACTGAACACTTATTTATCATGCAGGAGGTTCAATTCATCCGAGATTCTCGCGCTTTTTCATCTGCTAGTCGACAAAAATAGCAAAAGCAAGTGGTGTAAACAATTGCGTACAAATTGTGTCTATTGTATACTGGACACAAACGTTAGTGCAGACAGAACAAAATTATGCAATGCTGCTATAGCCTTGCTAATGACAGTGTACGCTGCATTTAAAAAAAAACGTGGTGATTAGTGCGTGACACGTGGTGATTGGTGTCGATGCTTTCGTTTCTCAAGGATTATTTTCTTGGCTTACGAGTTCTTTTGATTTCAAGCGAGAGCGGCATCCTGTGGTCTTCTGCCAAAGTAGAGCTTTTTTCGGTCGCATTCTTTCTCTTCAGAGGTCAATATCGCGACGCCACTTTATATACTACTCAGATAAAACAATAACTGTTGGGGTTTGATGTCCGCAAAACCCCTGTATGATAACAAGAGACACCGTGTACTGAGGGGCTCCGAAAATTCCGACCATTTAGGGTTCATTATTGTTCACCTAGGTCGGCGAAAAATGTGGAACTCACTTACATTCATGAAATATATTTCGAGCTTTGGAATCACTAAGACCAAAACTTTCCTGATCTGGAATCACTCGGAGTCACGCTCACAGAAATTTTCTTCAACCGGACCCACTCGGACTCAGACTCACCAAAATATTACTAACTTAGACTCAGACTCACTGTTCATTCTGAGTCTAAGTGAGTCCTATAGTGAGTCGACTCATGAGTTTCTTAGCCTAGAATCAGCTTATTCGACCATGGTGTATATACCTTTTAAAACCAATATCTCATGTAATCGGTGCTCTTCTTGTCGCCTTTTGTAGTACCGTAGAATAGGAGTACCGTAGAGTATACCGTAGAATAGGAGTGGTCAGCGGTTGCAAACGAGTGAGGACATCTTGTTTGGAAGAGACGACAATGTGAGATATATTTATCAAGAGCATCTCTGGAAGAATTAATTGGCAGGGAAGGGGGGAGGTTAAGGTACCGCCTTGCGTAATTCACGCCCATATGGGTGAAAACATTTATTGGGATGGACGAAAAACTTTATTGACTCACGCCTATGATCACTAATTATTGCTATGGTGTATGAATGATACTGCTTTGGAATACGTGTGAGTAGACGTGAGCGTGAACGTGAATTGAGGTAAGGCTGATAGTGATGCTGTCGATGACTAGATAAGGTCATAGGTCGGCAAAATAAGTGGGGCTCACTCAGACTCACCGAAGCTTTCCTGAGTCCGGACTCACTCAGACTAACAGCTCGATCTGAGGGTGTCCGAGTGAGTTAACGCATGAGTGAGTTGGCCGACTTATGCCCAAGTATAAGTACTTGGGCCTCTAGCCGTTCCGACCCCATCTAAAGTGCGGCCGCCGGAGCAGGGATTCGATCTCACGACCTTCGGGTCAGCAGTCGAGACCCATCAACACTAGACCACCATGGTGGGTCGCTATATGCTAAGATCCAGCCTCTCGGAACATTGCATTCCTTGTTCTGCAATGTATACGTTGTCCACATAAACTTTGGTTGATTCCACCAAATGTATAAGGACCTGCTGTATTAGTTTCATATCCGAAAGCAATCGTGGAATATATATTTGGCTTTTCGGATTTAAGCAAAATGCGACAATTGAACGTGAATTCGCGAAACTGACACGTACTCAAGAAGACAGAAGGAGGGGCGAACTCACCTGACGTTGCTGAGGGGTCCAAGGTCCGACGCCTCGTGAGGTGGCGGCGGAGAACCGACGTCATTCTCGGAGGCATTGACGCTGTTTTTCCGCACGAAGGACATTGACGTCGTCCTGGGTTGGCAGCACAAAGTCAGCCAGCGCCGCCTAACACCTCACACCTCTCTCTCTCTCCCCCACTTTTTATTTGACTTCCAATGATGCTTGAGTTAGTATGAACGCAACCTTCAATAGGTGGTGTCCAAACCAAAATATAACGTACCCTAACTTAATCTAACCTGACTATCGAAAGATAACCTAACCGAACTGAAGCCAGCGCAACCTAACATAACCTAATCTTGCCTTACCTAACCCAACGAAACGTAACATAACCTAACTTAAACTTAACCTGTCTAACGATAGTTTCCTATTTGATAACAATAAAAATTGTTTTGAAAAGCCTTGTGCCTTTTCTCTGGCAGCATGCTAAGGAAAGAAATTGAAGGATCCGAGAAAACGTAATGATTGTCCTATTTCGAACCACATGTACATGTGGTCCGAAATAGGACTATCATTACCCTTTAGTTGTTGCACCCTTTTTGCACCCTTTTGATGTATGGACCCTTTTGGTTCCGCTTGTAGAATGTTGAAACGCGAATAGGGTGCTCACAGGGTGTGCTTAGAGTGTTTGCATCCTTCTCTACACCCTTATAGGCCAGAATTGGTTAAGTGTGCACCCATTATTTGACGAATTGGCGAGTTGGTGTACATTAGCAACACGACGTAACAGTGCCTAAATTAGCATTTATTATTGAAAATGAGACTCAACAACACAAGCGCTGACTATGAGCTGATTTATTAGCGGAAAGCATTCGCGCAGGACAACTCGTTCATACGCCCGCAAGCGCTTATCTTTGGTAGAAGTTCGGTCGTACTCCAAACAAACTGTTGTTGGGCAAAACTACCATGGAATGTTGTGAAAAGAGGCAATCCTCGCGTGAGCCCGCAATTGAAGGTATTCAGTTCATTCAATAAAGGGTAAATAAGTTGATAGTAGGCACTGGGGTCGTTACGTTTTTATCGGATCCATGTATTAATTGTTCTTTTTCACGAGTTGGGTAAAGAGCATGTGAGGTCAAAACCACGAGGTCAGCCAGTTCGATGCAGCAATAAGAGTAACGTAAATTTGTACTGTTACGTCTTTTATTAACAGATGCACAAAAAACGTGGTTCCTAACAGCGTTTCTTGTGCATTTTTTCCAGTTAAAATCCCTGCCTTCCTTCTTTGTCTGCTTCTTTCCCCCTCTTGTACCAGGTTACGCCACACTGCTTAACTTTTATTCTGGCACTGTTGCGTTCGAGAGTGTCCTCGTGGTATACGCATATATGGCGTGCAATGCGTTCAAACGCAAATCGGAATGACAAGGCTTGATCTTTGTTTTCGGAATCACCACAAGAAGGTGGGACACAGAATAAAAGGTACACTTCACAAACAAAAAAGAAACTGCATAAAGCAGTGTTGTAGTTCTGTCAAACTATTTGCATAATAAGCGAGACGAATCAATCAATGAATCAATCAATCGTGCGACAACACTTTTAAGATTACTGAGTAGCTTAACCTCGGATATTTAAAATGTCAGGAGAGTATCATGTGCTGACATTAGAAGTGAGATCATAATCTTAAAATAAGGCTAGACACATCAACATGCCATATATTACAGCTGTTTTTCACAATGAATACACCGAGTTTCAAGAGCAGTTATTGCGCGAATATTGATGAAGGAATAATAATATCATCTTTGTTATGATCAGTTGAGTCCACTCATAATGATACTATTTATAATGGTGTATCAGAGATAATAATGAAGAACGATGACCTCATATACTGTGGTATGAGTTCTATGGTAAAAGAAACCACTTAATACGACGCTCCAGTGCCGCGATATCGGATATAGCGATTGAATCCAGCTACAGTGCGCACAGAGTATGACCCATGTGAGCCGACTGCGCCATGCTGCGGACAATGGGGAGGCGACAACCATGACGGCGTGGTTGAGCAGCCTAACCAGGTACTGTCATTGCAGGAGGCCCAACCGATTATGAAGTCCCTCCGGGACTTTGTTTCTCGAAGGACCTTCCACTGAGCTACGTGGAGCATGTAGATGCTTTTGAGAAAGATACGCGCCCGCTAAGCGTGAAGAAACTAAAGCTGGCAGACAATGGCTTTTCTGCAAACAATTAGTACGTAGTGCAATACTTTACTTGCATGCAAACTAAATGTTTTGATGGCTCGGCCACCTTTTTCGCTTTCTGGCCGGGGTCGTCTGCGCGCGGGCTTATGTCGTGATCGAACAACGGGGCTTATGGTTGCCGCACTATCGCGGCAATGATCAGCACGTGGCTTGTGCCCCCACAGCAGGTGGGAGCTTCTACGGGCTGCGCTCTCCACACGAAAAAAGAAAAGGTTCCCAAAGTGTACCTTGAGCAGCCGTGTTCGGTTACGCCAGCGTTTTGTATAGTTACGTGAGATAAGATCTAAATGAGTTGACTGCCAACTTCACTTTCTGTAAACTTGCAATTTGTCAGCATCGCTTTGTAAAACATTGGAATAAGTTGCTATCGAATTCATTGTTTCGCACCTTTTAGTGAAATGTAACTTTTTCCTCAACCCGCTACTAACAATTATCGGTTATAGCGATGGGACTTCATCGGTACTTTGTTTTCGTTATAGGTGGACTGAACTTCAGAAAACTGTCGCCACTTACAGACATCATTACCTCGTTATTTCTCTCCTTTAACAATATATCATTTAATGAAGATAATATAAAAATGAAGTGCTTCCAACTTACTTTGAAGAGAAGGCTAGTATTTTTTTAGCGAGAATTTCCTTCATGTGACAGAGGAAACACGTTGAGGGTCATCGGTGTTCAGCTACCTACACGGCCTCGAATATAGCTGATCACGTGTGTGTGAAACGAAAATTAACTGGCTTAAACAATAAATGAGATAACCACACGTTGTTCCTCGCGTTCGTTACCGATAAAAGAAACTCTCCTGCGAATATCAATAACTATCTACGTTGCATTCAGGGTCTGTGGATCTCGATCAATGCCGCAACATCAGGTTAGTAACAAAACAAAATTTTCCACTAACGTTTTACTACTTGGAAGCGCTTTCACTACTCAAAACTTCTATTATCTCTTTTGCAAGTGCTATAGTACTGTTATTTTGTTCTTTTTTTTTGTACAGGTGTTGAATGTTAGCTTCCGGTTAGTCGGAGCTAATTTGAAAGCTACAAAACAAGTTTTCACTCCGAATAGATTTTGTGTACACATATCACTCCTTTTTGACTTTAGTGATTGGCTTTAAGCCCATTGTACTTTCGCATGGTACAGATGACCTCCCAAATTATTGTTTTTTTTTCTTTTGCGCAGAGGTCAGATTTAGCCATATTCCTCCAACGAGCGCGTTTACTGATGTTTAGGTGTGTGAAAACATTGTGTGCATTGCAAATGCTACATTGTACACACGAATGCATGCGCGCTTCTTATCGCATTCTGAATTAGTTTCGTATCGCTGACATCCGGCGAATAGCAGATCGCGCCTTGCACTTATGACATACGTGACGCGAGCAGTACTTTACCTCAGTGATAACAGACTGATTCGCAGCGATAAGAAGCCTTAAACGTCAATTTCTATTCTATTATAGTATGGCTAACGTGCCACAGCAGTGCATACTACGGAGCTTTGTTACTACGGAAGTCCAACTATGCGCCTTGCCCTATTCGCCCACTGTTCATTGCTGCAAAAGGCCCACAGTGGACGTTGGGTAAGGGTGCATTTTCGAACTCCAAGAAATAAAGACAAAAACAAAATACAAAAAAGGGGGTACGTGCTACGTTTTTCGGCGAGTCCACGTATACGCCTCTCCTCAAAGAGAAACGCTAACTCTCTTGCAAGTTACACTACTTTACGACGAGCGTCTACGGATCTCCCGAGAGAGATCGCACGTCTTTTTAAAGACAGTCATGTAAGTCACAAGTTACGACCCACACACACAAAAGTAAGTGAAGTAATATAAGAACTTTGTGACTCTTTTTATTCTTCTTTGAGTGTACTTTTAAACCACAAGTGAACGACATGTGCGGGGCACGTCTGTGAAAGCTCATACGTGGACATTTTCGTGCTCGTGCTTCTCATTAGTCGTGCTCTGTAGCAAACTATAGAACAAGGAAGGTGACACCTAAGGAGGATTAAAAAAATTGCTGGAGTGGAAATGATTGCCCAGGAGTGAAGCCGAGCCTCTGGCGAGATGGTGGGGGGCGGCGGCTATGTTACTAGGGACATGATAAAGTATCACCGTTCGGCTATTAGGAACGAAGTGTTCCTCTCACACGCCAAATGACGTGAAAAATTTACCGGGTCACATAGTGCTACAAGTGCGTCTTAGTGCTACTAATATTCCTTAGTAAGCCTCTAAATGGAGGAGGAAAGAACTTTATTCAGAGTCCGGCAAGTAGATGAGGTGGGCAAATGGCCCCGCCTAGGTTACGGCCAGGAGTCCTTGAATCCTGGCTGCTTCTTCGGCCCGCTGGACGGCGGCAAAGTTTTTTGGAGATTCGGTCACCCATACTCCTTTATGTGTCTTATTTCATCGGGAAGGACTATGATTTGATATGTAAATAACGTAGAATTTACATTAACATATCAAAGCCACTTGACCTTTAAGTGTACAATACCACAAAAGAGCACATTTCCACCATCTTAGCAGTGACAAAAGCTGACTATCACTTTTGCTGGCAAGGCGTTGCGGGAGCTTCCACTCCAGCCTTTTTTTTAAATCCTCCTTAATGACCACACGTTCCACTTGGAGCGAGTGGACGGGCGGGGTGAGTTGGTGAGTGAAGGTACAGAGGGTGCACCACAAACACAGCACGAGTCACAGTGAGAAAGAGATAGAGAGAGGAAGAGGGAGTAAGGAAGAGGAGATGACGAATAGGAAATGAAAGACTCCTTACCTAACGTAAGATCTGAAACAAAACAGACACCATCAAGGTCAAACTACAAATGAAAATACAACACACTCGACTAACAATTAAAAAAAAAAGAACGAGATTAGCGCAGAAGTAGGTGAGTGATCAGAGCGAGCAGGTAAAGGGTGCATGCGCAGTGATTGTTGGAAACACCGTGCACGTAGAAGGGCGGCTTGCAGCATGCGTGGCAACATTGCGTGCTGATTTATTATTACATTTTTTTTCGTGCGTCAGTAAATATTGCACCAGAAACATGCACTCGGGCTGCCTTTTTACTACAAGGGTTGGACAGGAAGCCTGAAATACATCCAAATTCCGTAAGCACGAGGCATGATTTCTAAGGCGCTCTCTTTCAAGTATCGTCATGAACCCGTACGTCGCTTAAACGTCGTTATCGCTGGAATTGCACAAAAAACAGCCCAAATAGAGTGTGATGAATATAGTGATAATGGTAATGTAAAAAAAAACCCTGTAAAATTTGGTATGACCTTGCATATAAGCAACGTGCTTTCACTCTGTGATTATCCCTGGAAATGAAGCTGCATTAATTGGAGGAGGCAAAATTGATAACCCTAGATGCGTTCGCTACGCTCAGCGTTCTGTGTCGGTACTCCCGAAAATTCCTTTCCGTAAGTATTTTTTCTTTTCAGAGAACACGTTCTACGAGTCGACTATGGCATTATGTGATTAGTTCTGAATAATTTCGCCTTCCGCATACATTCGTGGCACGGTTCCCATATAAGCGTTCCTATATATATAAGTGTTCCTATATAAGCGTTAATTACTTCAGAGAAACAGAATCGGTAGGAATAGTTATAATCTTAGTACATTCAGTATGTGACCCACTGGACTGCTTTGCGCACGACGGAACATAAGTCAACGTTTCTGTTCTGACGTCCACAGTGTGATTCGCCGAAATCAACTGCGTTTTGAACATGTTTCCCTGCCGCTGAGTCGATGATACCTCACAGAGTGGTGCTTCACAAATCTACAGCAATCGACGCCGTCAGACTTCAGTTGAATTCGTTAACTTCATGACGATGTGAAGATTAGCTAAGTTCCGTGATGACAAAAATAAAACAAACAAAAAATTATGCAGAAAAAGAACAGAACGCTCGGAGTATTAGTGTTTTAGGAATGATAGAGAAAAACGCAGAAGTTCAAGCGAAACCGGGCACGCCAAATTAAAAAAAAATTAATATTGTTAATGCAAACCATGCGCGTACTTTAAAACTCTTTTGTCCCCCTAAATGTCCCACGCATAAGGACACCAGTAGAACTAACATAAAACACTGCGATAGTTAGCGTGAAGGGTGATCACGTAGAATATGGTATATGCAATTTTATTAGTTGATTGTTAATTGCCATTGCATCAGCTTTCATTCGAACATGTCGAGGTAAATGGCCCAGAACCAGCCTTCCTTCCCACCGAATACAGGTCGCCTATAGATCTGCGCGCAAACACGTCACTCGAAAATGAGGCCTATTAGGTCTAGCTACGAGTGTCTGACAAAGTATCATTTTGCAGTTATAGTGAAATTGTGCGAAGTCCCTCATTAGCGGAGACAGCAACAATTTACTTTATCAAAGAACTGCTACAGCCTAATGCAATTTCGAGGCTTACAAACGTTTGAACAAAAATGCAGGCAGGCGCTAACATGTAGTTCATTTCGAGGTGCGTTTGAGGAACAAATTTTATTTCATTACAAAAAATTAAGCTGCATATAAGATTGTCTATATATTTTCCAACACAATGTTAAGCACGACGATATAATTTACATGCTTACAAATTGCACAGGAAAAAAAAAACTAAAAAGGAAGGCGGGAGTGCTTGTAATGTATGGTCCTAGAGGAGCAATACATCTTGCTTTTCTGGAACATCTACCTTGAAAAAATACTCGAGCTAGTATAGCAACGCAGGCGCGGCAGCATAGCAGGACCAAAGTTCTTCATGCGAATCGCCGAAAAATGCTAATAGACTCCGAGAATGAGAGAACAGCTAGCGACGTCCCGAGATATTAATCGTTCAAGCTGAAGCGATGCACAGAGTTGTGTAAATAATAAAGAAAAGACACCAGTTAACTATGAGAGTATACCCAATAATAAATTGTTCTTCTGGGATTAGATTGGAACGTGAAGAAATTCTCAAACTTATTGTTGCTCAGGTTTCTTTTCTTTATTGCTTACACGCTACTCCGTAGACCATTCATGGAGTTTAGCAAGATTGCTTTAGGGGTAATCGCACTGTAAAAGACAATTACAGATTCACATCTGCCTGAGAGACAAATAAGCATATAAAAGCAGCAGGAGCAATAATAATAATAATAATAATAATAATAATAATAATAATAATAATAATAATATAATAATAATAATAATAATAATAATAATAATAATAATAATAACGAAAGGCTGGCTGCTTCGTTGCGTGGAACTCCAGGGGGAACCGGAAATGTAGATTATATCTCAAAGTGTATATATGTAGAAGCGAAAACGATCAAAGCGAGAAGAGAGAATATGAAAAAGTAGAAGAAAGGGAAGAAGAGTAGCGATTGATACGTCATGGACATGTGGAAGTACAAACCTCGGAGTCGTACCCTCCGGTCCAAAGGGGCTGCAGCTTTTCATGACTTGTAGGTTTCGAGCGAAGACCTGCACGGGAGAGGAGGAGGAGGAAAAAAAAAGAGAGTAGTACGAAAGAAGTGTTAGGAAGTTGGTCGAAGAAGGGTTTGCATTCGTTGTCTCTATGAACAGTATACTCGCAAAGATACCGTAAAGAGCGAGGTCCAGTCGTACGAGCATCTTGAGAAAGAGATGGGTAGATAAAAGAGGGCGATACAAGCACATCGTCTCTTGTATAGAGTGACACAATAGAGATGCCGCCCTGTTGTGGCCCGAGGGACAGTTCGAAGACGAGGGACAAAGGGGGGGGAAAGAGAAGGTAGCAACAGAGAAGGCCGAAGGGAGGGGGGCAATATTTATAGTGTGGGAGAGACTGGAGGAATGGGACGTATATTGATGAGAATGAAAGAAGGTGGCTGGTTAGAGGGAGGGAGGGGGGGGGGCAGGGTCGCACAGTTCATTGTTAAGAAGAACTGCGCCGCCGGCTGCGTCGTTCCCTTCTCTGGTAGCGGCAGCGGCGGAGGCACTCTCGATCACGTGACCGATCGTTAACGACTTTTATCGTTGCTCGATCCGCTCGCTCATGGCTCGCAGGCGAGGCGACGTCTGAAGAAACTGAAGGTGGCCGGCCGGCACCGTTTATCAAGGAGGCGGAAAGGGGGGGGGGGGGAAGAGGGCGACAAGAATAACGCTCGCGATACAACACGCCCACCTCATGAACGAATGGCTCATCGATAAAGCCTCGCGCGATGCTTGTGTACGGGCTGTTGTGTAGTAGTATACGGTATATTGTACAACGGGACAGATGTAAACGACGCTGCCGAATTCGCTGTTGCGTCGCGTTGACCTCCTACACTCCCTCGTTTTTGTTTACTTTTGTTTTCACCAGTCATTCTTTTGCGTTGCTGTTTGCTAGTTTTCCCGGACACTCTTTTTCATTTGCAAGCTGGGGGGGATCGCCATTTTCTATCGTTTCTTTCTGCGTAGCATGGCTGTGGACCTCCCAGAAAGAAAAGAAAAAAAATAAATGAAGGAAGAGAGATGTGAGAGGAAGCTCAATCGTATATATCTGCGTTCATTCACGAAATCTTCCTTCCTCCGTGACTGTCTTTCGTTGTTGCTGCTTCATTTTCGATCTTCGTTTGCGTTACCGGCAGCCGACGTCGAAACAAATAGCCGGAACGGCTTTACAGAAAACTCGAGGCAGTGTCTGTCCTCTCAGCTCAACGGGCGTGGGATTACAATGGGGGATCGTTGCTGCAGCTTTGCGAGCTCCTTTCCGAGCTGTTAACTTCGAGTTAGTGTAAGCATCGAGACTGACGTTTTCTTATCTTTACTAAATGTATACGAAGTGGCTTGGTCGATAGACGGTTACATCAAGGTATAGACAGGGTCTATAAAATTGGAATGCAAGCACTGCCCCCCCCCCCCTTCTTCTTTTTTACGGCTATGGAGATAAAGAAGCATGAGTCATTTTACGAAATGCAACTGCTTAGCTGCTTAACTCAGTCTGGAATTTCCACAATAGGGAAGCTGATTCTCGTGTGATTGCTTGTCCTTGTTTTGCTAAAATGGGCGCAGTAGCTATTTTCTCTGATATCTCTTTTGACTTTCTATATATTCTGTCTGTCGAGCAGAATGGCAAACAGGACGTGCTTCTAAACGTTATTATTATTATTATTATTATTATTATTATTATTATTATTATTATTATTATTATTATTATTATTATTATTATTATTATTATTATTATTATTATAGATCTTTGCCTTATTTTATTAGGGGCTGCTGCCACCGGCAATCGAGCGCGCTGGTCTCAGGTGTGATGGCAGGTGTAATATTTATACTGTGCTCGCAGAAATGGCCCATACTTGAGCAGCCTGCACACTGTAACGTAGCAGCCACGCTTCATTGGTCTACAGGGGCCCACTGCGGTTCTTGTAGTTTTAAAGAACGATGCCTCGCTCGACGCTAAGGTACCGGCATTTTCTTGTGAGTCAGTTACTAGTGGTCTGCAAGACTCATCCACACTTGCAAGGCTGATTCGCGCTTGTACCCAGCACGCCGGTCGCGTGACAAGTTTGGTGAAAAGGGAGTGATATGACTCGGGTGCACAATGCTATTTTTTTTTTCAGTCATGAGACTGCAGTTGCAAGCTTCTGAACCAACGAGATGCGCAAGAACGTGATAAACGAAGGTAGGTGTGCAGACAATGACACAAGAGAAGAGATCAAGATAACATAAACGTTGATGCGTTCTCTTATGTCAGGGTCTGCTGGCGTACTTCGGTTACCATAGATTCGTACGAACTAGCTACCTTTTTTGTCACTCTAAGCGCATGGAACAGACACCATATTATTTAACGAGGCAACGGCTGTGAAAGCACTCGCTGATTTGGCGTGGTGACTGATTGGTCGGTTGTGAACACCGGTCGCCAATAGTCGCTTCTTGATCACCAGGTGCAAACAGTCGTGTTGCCGATGCTTTTGGGCAAGGCGATAATTGAAATTTGTAGCACACAAATAACTTCTTTTATCCTCTAAGCAATGGTCGCCGCAGGTGTGTACGAAGGAAGACTCGTCACAACATGTTAAACTGCCCGGAAATGCACTCGCTTTTTTTTTTCGAATTCTGCATTGTCGTTTGATCACTTGGTCGAGATGAAGGGATTGATTGATTTGGGGGGTTTAACGTCCAAGAACCACTATATGATTATGAGAGACGCCGTAGTGGAGGGCTCCGGAAATTTTGACCACCTGGGGTTCTTTAACGTGCACCCAAATCTGAGTACACGAGATGAAGGGAACAGAAATAAATAAAAATGATATATTTATCGATGCTTAACCGAAAGAGCAGCTGATTAGCACTATCTCGGTGTGGTGAGCGTTTGTTTCTCTGTGTTCCTCACCCACAGCTATGAGTTTTGCTCTATAACCTCAGTACACTCTCAATGATGCCCTGGGTGAAGTGCCGGATATGGTCAGAAAACTATAGCATTCCTAGCCATAGCTAGTGCTTTACCCGGGACACGAATAATAACGTATGATTAACGCCATACTAACTCGATCTAGAACATCGCGATATGAGAGAAAGAGGCAATATAAAAGGGAAGAGCGAGATGAAAAGGAAATATGTGATGGGTGGAGTAGAGAGGAATAACGATAAACGGCACGCTCGGTGGTGAAAGCGACACGAAAGAGAAACAGTGACATGATTTAGCTTGACAAGCTGTACTCCGAAAACTCCAATTACAAATGTTTTACTATCATAAGGTCACCGATAGCGAAGAAAATTAAGGTTGAAGTTTCCCTTTTGAATTTCGCACCTGGATCGTCATGTGTGACGTCGAAATTTTCACAACGTATTTCTCGTATTTTCGTTATATTGGCTCAATTAAATATTCCGAAACTTCGTACACCAAGCCAATGGCCCCATAGATGACTATGTGCTTTTTGTTCATTAGAAGCAAAGTTAGACCCTGTAGCCACCTTCAAAATCTATGACGTCATGGTCTGATGCTGCGGAAATCTCAAGGTGGCATCACTAACCATACTTTTAGCATGTTTTCTCGCTCACCGAGTGTCTTGTCGCCATAACAGTGACGTTGTCGGGACTGTGAAATAGTACTTCACTAACGCGCGACAAATCGTTTTGCTCTTAAGTGCCTTTTGAACCAGGACTCCGTTCGGTCGCACCATGCAGTGCACAGAAATGCGTCGGCTCAGAATGTCAACGCGCGACGTACCTCTCCGTTTTCGGGCGGCTCGCCGTTGCCAAAAGTGCTGGAGATGACCAGCAGCAGGGGCTCGAATTCCAGGTTGACGAAATCGTAGTCTTCCATGCACTCGACCTTGGATGCGGAGAAAATGCAAGAGAAGCGAATCGTCACGCGCTGTTATGTAGCACGCATCGATCAATAAAAGGACGCACTTGCAAAGGTAAGCCTGTGATATCGTTGTGACAATACTGCTTGCTTTACTCAGTTTTATTGAACAATGAAAAAAAAAGACGGTGATTACATATGCGACGGGAGTTGTTGCAGTGTTCGATATATCTTCGGGAGTGAGCGGGGCAAAGCAGTGCACGAGTATGGCTTTAGTTGATCGTTGTAAAGGATTAGGAAAAAGTATTAACTAATAGTAGCCAACAGTTTACCACGACTAGCTTCTATATAGTCCGTCCGTTAGAATCATTAAACAGTGTTGGTAATATGTCAGCAAATATTGTACGCATCAAATATGAACCTTGGGGCAATCTCGTTGAGGATTTAATTTTTGTGTGTTTACTTCTTTACTTTTTATAGTTTCAGACAGTGGCGTAGTCAAGGGGTGGTGCACTGGGCCCGTGCTCCCCCCAATTTTTTTTTCGCCATGGCATACAGAGCAAAAAGTGACCATTTCAAGGGGGTGCCCCCTCCTCCCCTTGAAATCAAGGAGGTGTCACCCGAGGAAATTGTCTGTCTATGCTCCTTGTCTGAGATGATAATTTTTACGTACTCCTTTACTAAATTGAACTTCTTTTTCCCAGGTTTAGATACCAAAGTTATCTCTTTTTATGGTGCGTGAAAAGCAGCCCGGAAATATTCCAGTTTACTTCCCATATAAACGCAACGCATTAAAAACGGCTCCGCAAAGAAGGCTATGAACTGATTGCGCATATACTCGGTTGCGCGCTCAAGCTACGAGGTATATAATAGAAAAAAATGTCAGTTTGTGTTGTGCCTTTTCGGAACGCTATACTCAATCGGGAGTCCTGTTTCTTAAGTCATCGCACTCTGGCTTCAATAAGGGATGCAAGCGGGCAGTGCTTACGATAGCACAGAAAAATATTTGTCAAAAAACGCTGTGTCATATCGCTTTTAGCTTTATTTAGGCTTGACCACGCAGATGTGCGTCCCTATTGCAGCCCTTTTAGGATACATTACGCCGACATATCTCGTATTATTCAGTAGCTTTTCACTGGTTGTGTAACTTTGCAGAGACGCTACATATAGCTTTTCAAAGAATTTCTGCTGCCGTAGGCCAACTTGCACTCCCCCTTTCCGATCCAAACGTTTCGCCTTGATCTCAATGAAAAATACGCACACGCATTTGTAAATATGTATGACTCAGTGGTAAAAACGACTCATCAAGGTGTGTGAGCCGCATTTGTTATGCTCTGACGACCACGTACCTGTCGCTTAATGGCAGAACGTAGCCGAGAGGAGAGAGAGAGAAGAGGGGGAGGTCATAATAATAATATGTCGGGTTTTACGTTCCGAAACCCCGATATGAACATGAGGGACGCCGTAGTGGCGGTCTCCCGAAATTTCAAACACCTGGAGTCGTTTATCGCGCACTGACACCGCACAGTACACGGGCCTTAACAATTTCTCAATCGGAATGCGATGGCCGCGACGGAGATCGAAACCGCGGCATACGGGTCAGCAGCCGAGCCCCTTAGCCACTGATCCACCGAGGCGGACAAGAGAGCGAAGTAAAAAAAAAAGGAAAATATTTTTAAATCAACCAAACGAGCGTGTTGTTTGCTACCCTACTCTGGCGGTAAAAATTGGCGAAAGAGCAACAAAGGAAAGAGAGAGAAAGAAAAACAGAGAAATAATTATTTTTTTCCTGGCTGTGGTCGGTAGAAGCGGGGCACGGGTGACAAGCCCCACCGGAGCCCCTTTCCTCAGGCGGCAACCGAGAACTCGAGTTGGGTGGCGCCTTTGGAAAGCCAGAACGAGACATCGAGATCGGTGGGTTCACTGAAGGAATGCGATTGTTAACTGAGGCCGATGTACTTCGGAAACTTCAGCAGAGCTTGAACAACGTTCTGTGTCAACGAGGCGTGCGCCAATACGCCTCGAATCTAAAATTTACAAGTGTTGGAACACATTTTTGTCTTCTCACACGGGTGGCAGCAGAAGACGCGGAGGACGTCACAGGCGACCATGACGTGTGTGATGCAACGGCCGCTTTTGTGCTTCTTTTTCCGTGTGCTTGTCTTTTTGACAAACATGCCTTCACAAACACACCTACCAGGCCAAGAACATGTTCTCCTCAGGTCTCGGCTGGCTTAGCCCTAAGTAATGTTCCGGCTTTTTGACAAACATGCCTTCACAAACACACCAACCTGGCCAAGAACAAGCTCTCCTCAGGACTCGACTAGCTTAGCCCTAAGTAATGTTCCTGCTTTTTGACAAACATGCCTTCACAAACACACCAACCAGACCAAGAACAAGCTCTCCTCAGGACTCGGCTGGCTTAGCCCTACTGAATGTTCCGGATTTTGTATCAAGGGTAAGGGCACCACCGAAAGTTAGATCATGCGAACGACGAGGAGACTCCACTTTTAGAGTTTTGTCTTACCGACGCGTTGAAAGCGTGCAGGAAGATGTCGCATAGTACACGGGCGTAGGTCTCGGACTTTCCCGTCTCGGTGGCGTACAGGATCTTGGCCTTGACGCGCTTCGCCAGGGCTTTGCCGTACATGGCTGAGGTGAACTTCACGGCGCTGTGGTGGGGCGATAACAAAGAGGCTTTCAACAATCATCATATTGAGGAATGGTCACATGGCTTATTTCAATTTCTATAGCGTGAGAACGGGAACCCGCAAGTGTCTTGCTTTTATATGTTGACGTTCGTTCCATTTCATTCAGCCTTTTCTACAGGAATGAAAAGTGACACGAGAAAATACAGTTTCTACAGGAATGCAGTAGAAATACAGTTTCTACAGGCTTGATTTCTACAGGCAAACATAACCTACAGGAATGAAAAGTGACACGAGAAAATGCTTCGAGGTACAATACATACCTTTAATGAGTTACCAGGGTAACTTTTGTTGAATAGAATATATTTAGACGTGTATAGTTTTGCCAGGACACTTTTCATAATTCAACGTTACGCACAACTTTCAGGACATAAAAGAAAAGGCTGTCCTTGCAGTGCTAAATAAGATCGTCTCGTTGCATGGGCTAAAAACTCTTTTTTAGTTTATTACGATATATATTGTTCAGCAAATTTTAGCGCTCCTTAATAGCGTCAGCTCTATTTTTTTTTTCACGGGTAATATATGATTTGTGAAAATCTCAGTAACGAGAAAAAGAAAATACGCAGAATATCGAGGGAGAGTTCACGTAAGTCGGCAGGCCATGAAAATTATCACATATTCACAAGGTATATATTCACGTAGTGACGCGAAAAGCAATATAATATGCACTCCGGTCACGTAACATTATATGTCACATAAAATGCAGCCACGTGATCACGGTATATGCTCAAAATAAGCTACACATAGCGTCCAGTCTCGCAACAACACTGAAATTGTATAGGCAGTCCCACTTACTCATAAAGAAATCGTCGTTCAATTGTGGATGTTGTGACTGAAAACACGCAAAAAAAAAAAATTGTTTTGCTATCTCCGCTGGCTATTGAAATTCAGCGCTAGTGACAGTAATTACATCAGCAGTGTCTATTGCTGAAGTGGATGGCCTAGTGCAAGAGCACAAAATGGCAGTGTGGTCATCGATTCTGAAATAAAATGTTTTCGCGCTCCTTTTCACGACAGAAGCCCGTCGACTCAAGGTGCGACCGCTCCGTGTATTAGCATTAGCAGCAACTTAGCCTTACTTTTCTTATTGCATGAACGTTGCTTCAGTATAAATCGTGCAAAGCAACTCAAGGTGCGACCGCTCCGTGTATTAGCATTAGCAGCAACTTAGCCTTACTTTTCTTATTGCATGAACGTTGCTTCAGTATAAATCGTGCAAAGCAACTCAAGGTGCGACCGCTCCATGTATTAGCATTAGCAGCAACTTAGCCTTACTTTTCTTATTGCATGAACGTTGCTTCAGTATAAATCGTGCAAAGCAACTCAAGGTGCGACCGCTCCGTGTATTAGCATTAGCAGCAACTTAGCCTTACTTTTCTTATTGCATGAACGTTGCTTCAGTATAAATCGTGCAAAGCAATTCAATTAGGCAGGTAAGTTTCGAGCATGCCTGGCGATGTCCTTGAAGCGGAACTTCCTGGAATGCCGTCGCTGGTCGTCCGCCTTCTTCTGCCACACGTGCGTCTTCCAGGCTGGCGTCTGCGAGAGCAAAACGAAAACGTGCCTTGAATTGGCGGGACTACCGACGAGCATCCTGACATTTCGGAGTGACGGCTATATAGGCTATATACGTATTAGACTGTACAGCATGCGTTTCACTCACGAAGAAAGACAGCTTTGCTTTCGTTCCTCAGTCTCATCCGTTTGTAATAGTCGCCTCACGTGTAGGAGGGCTGGCGCCTTGAAAACATCTCGAAAGGCCAACGCAAGACGGGACGAGAACGTGGGCGCAGAGAAACATATTTAGAGGTAATCTAATATCGGAGAAGTTGTGCGACCACCCTTAGAGTACGTACACACGTTCCGTTCGGTATCGAACAGGCAACGTAAAAGCCCATACGCCCAGTTGTATATTCCACAGGTGGGCGACCACATCATGCAGGTTGTTTGTGTTGTCACGTTTCATCTAAAATTTGCTTCTGAATTGGTAACGTGTCTCTGGAATACAAGGCGTGCGTAAGAACGCCAATGCTTTTAGTCTATGCTGTCGATCGCGCGCTGTGGTTGCGATTTAAAGCAGAAAGAGGTGCGAGTTTGTTTGTGAACGTGGAAACAGCCTGACGATAGTTATAGCGCGAGAACAAAACGATGACACAGAGACAAGAAGGACACAAAAGTGTCCTTCTTGTCTCCGTGTCGTCGTTTTGTCCTTCTTGTCTCCGTGTCGTCACTTTGTTCTCGCGCTATGACTATCGTCATGCCATACCAACTAGCCCAAGCTGCCACACTTCTAAGTGGAAACAGCACCACGAAACAATAGACGCAGACATGCACAGAAATCTAAGCAGGCGTTGAAGAGGTGACCCCCATAGTAGTCGATATTGATTCAAGCAATTGCACAGCTTGATGCAATCATAGCTTACTTGCAGTGCAACTACGAAACGTCATGCTCGTAAAGAGACTGAATTCAATGCAACGCCGAAAACGTAAGGTTGCACGGAACAGCAAAATTTGCTTCAAATATCGCAATGAGATTAGCAACTATGACAAAATGACTTGCGATCATGATTGTCCACGGAAAACACTTATCGCTTCTTTGTTTACCTTTTTCGTCACGGATAAAGACATTCAACATTTGATTTATTAGAGACATTTCCACACCACGACGAACCGCAGCGAAATTCGTTCCGTGCAGAAATGAGAGTGAACAACTAGTCAGAACTCATGCAATGTCTTTGACTGTATAAAAGGGTCCCAAACACGCGGGCCAGTAGAGTATAATGTCCGGACCGCCCGTAAAATGTCCGGGCCTGCGACCCGGACATTTTACATTAGTGACCCGTGGCTTTCCATGGAACAATGCTACGTGACTTTGGCTTTACTAAAGTGTAATTGCATTGTTTTTTCGCCTATTCGTATTGTTTTGGTTGTATTGATTTCTCGCACTTTGATCGAGTAAGCCACAGCGAAGAAACAGCTTTCAAAGTTGTTTTTTTTTTCTGAGGCACCCTATGAAGTCACTACGAGTTCGAACATCACCAAGGAACGAAAATTCCACATTTCATAATCGGCGTCCACATCTTAATCATTGTGAAAATCTGTGTATCCACATGTTGTTATTTTCGAAACCTGATGTCATATCTCCTCCAGGAAGGACCCATACATAGGATATAGAGAAGGCGTGCTTACTAATGACAGCGTTAAGTGACGTCATTGTTGGACATCCACTCACCTCCCCTCTCACAGCCTTTACCGTGAAAAGGATATTAAAAAAAAACCGGCCGGAAATACGAAAAAAAAAACAGAAAGAACACTATAGGACATGCTGAACGGTCCTTCGTTGTGTTTCCCGCTGGCTTTTTATGTGAATCGACAATGTACCAACTATATAGCCCCAGTCCATCACCTCGCTAGGCCTTTACCTTCACTGCCCGGGCCCTTACGGTACTAAATGGTACTAAATTTGTAACTGCAGCCTGCTAGCTGAGATGACCCTGATGCCTCTTTCTATACTCTCTGTATAGACAAATACCAACGACCGTGAAAGCGCTAGATGGCACGCAAGAGATATCCTGATAGAAAATATAAAGTCCACCACCTGGGATGAGCGCGATTGCGCGCTCAACAGGCTCGATAATTCTGCGGCGAGAAACGATCTCGTACTCCACAAATCGTTCGAAGCGCATCGCACTCCGCCATCGATAGATGAAACGTCCCGAGATTAGCCTTGACAGCTATCAACCACCTCTAAGACCTCGCAAATTGCCCGAGCATTGTGACAAATGCCACTATCTTTAGTGAGAACGAGTTCCTATATGTACGCAGGAACGGAGGCTCAATCCCTCATTCAGTATGCTGCCTTAACGAGCATACTCGCGGGTGCCTTTTCGGCCCTTGTGCCGCTATATGAGCGAATCGGCACAGGCCCGACAAACGGGTCGGCACTCCGCGATTAGACCTCGAACTTTCACGCAGCTGCCATTTAATTTTTTTTTTGCCGACGTATCATTACCGAAACAGACGCCACCACCGGGGCCCCTCTTGCGCGTCGCAAACGTGTGTCGGCCACGCGGACATGCTAGAAGCCATGGCACGCGGCGCGACGCCAAGCAAATCAAATTAGCAGATGCAAATAGGCGAGAAACCACCGCGTGTAGGGAACGCGGGTGGGGACGTAGACGCGTGTTCGAAGAAAGGAATGCATTCGCTCGTGCTCGTTATAAATCCCCTCCCCAGCATCACCCCCGACGTCAGCCCTTCGTCATTCGGCTCCCTTCATACCCCTCCCTTCCTTGGTCATTCAAGTTTCCTCATCACCGTGGAGGAAGCGTTGGGAGAGGCGGAGCCCGAACAAGAATGTGGAGCGGCAATCGTCGCGTTCAGGCAAGCCGTTATGCAAGGACCCGTCGAATAAACCAGATGCCGGTTATGCGGGCCTGTAGCGTTTGGCAATCCTTTATATCTGTATAGTTTTCTCGCGTGAAAACAAGTTCTGTTTGAACGCGCGTGCGTGCGTGCAGTTTGAAAACACTTCGTCGTCTTTGCAGGCGAACGTCCCACGCTGCACGATCGTACGGGCTTCTTTCGAGAGGGATATGCGCCGTTTGTGAATGGAACTTTCGTCGCAGATTGGTAAGACATGTGCTTGGCCGTGTTCGAATCTGCCCTTTGAAGAGGGAAACGAACAAACTTACGGCAGGTTTAGTCATCATCATCACGATTCTTGCGCAATGAACGCGTGTGGTTTTCGCTGCGTCTGTTGCATTATAGCGCCTAAGAGTCGTGCTTACGAAATTGCACAAACTTGCCTGAGAAGTAGCGTTATTATTAGAACATGATTTTTTGTAATGTTCAGTTACACCTACGACAAATATGGAATGTTCTGTAATGCGCTTTTGGAGAAGTTCTCTATCGAGCCATCTTCGCAAGTATAGCGCTTATTCGGGCATGTTTTTCCTTCAAAACTTTTTCAAATGCGAAGCATTTTAGCATTTTGCCAAGACTGTAGCTTAGTTTCCTCGAACAAGTTTTCTTGGACGTGCGTGATCTCAGCGATGATGTACACGCCACATACCACGAAAAATGAACTGAAATTTACCGATGAAACCGAGTTTTAAGACTGCATTCATTCTTTTTACGGGTACATGATTTGTTTTTTTTTTCCCGAGCGAGACTTAAGGCTTCTGGTGCTTTTCAGGGAAGCGATTATTTTTACGCGAGAATCGGATAGAGCCCCGCTGGTCATTATGGGAGACTTACAAAGTTCGCCTCGTACGTGCGCCTATAATCACGCATCGGTGCACGAATATCTTTTTGCGTGAAGGCCTAGCTTGTAGCGTGCTCATGGAGTTGTCGAACGAGGCTTAGAAGATAATAAAGGCCAGCACCACACGGAAAACAACTCAAGTTAAATCATGCCACGCTAGCATCCTTTTTTTTTGGATGCCACGGGAACTTTTACTATTACCGTTTAATACGTTTCATCAAAGTTTCCAGCTGAGATCAAAACCAAACATAAGACTTGCTCGAGATTCGTTCTGAAAAAAAAGTTTCACTGCTTCAGACTATTATAAAGCGAGCTTGGCGAGAAAAAGTGTAGATACGTAAGAACCGCATACTTTTTTCGTCGTAATGATGCTGAATTAGTACTGATCAAAATTTGAACAATAGTTTACGATTCGGCGTGGATATAATTATACTAGCTATTTCAAGCTCCTTGTACTAGTTCAGAGAGCATGCTGAGAGTGCACACAAAAAGTTTTTTTTTTTTTACAGCGAAAGCTGTTATGAGATCAACACTCGGGTCACGCAAAGTTGTCCGCCACCGCCGGTTTTCTCAGCTACTGTCGCACGAAATAAGAAAAAGAAAAACCCGTGTCCACTGAGTGCCAGCCTTGTTTTCTACCACTGAGCCATGCCGGTCCTTGTGACTTGTTGGCAAACTTGCCTTAGGCAGGCTTGATTTCGGGAAAGCAATCGCGTTAATAAGACTTACAAATTGTTTTACAACAGCGAAAGAACAACTTATGATACCCACCCCTTATGTAATGTCCCTCGGGACCCTTGAGGTACCAATAAATAAATAAATAGAAATAAAATTCGTCGCACAATGCGAATAGCGTGACGAGCGGGTCGTCCAATGCACCAACCCATTACAAAAGCTTGTTCTTGTTCCCCTATTAACTGTGGTGCATGCCCACTTCAGCCATAATTCCCCATTGTCGTCAGCCACTACATGAACGATTGGCAGAGAATTCCTTGCAAATGTTTAGCGAAAACCACGCTTCTCTCAAAAATGACGAAAAATAACATAGCGAATGCCGGCCTTCTACCGACAAATTTCTAATTATTGCCCTATGGTGGGTGCCAAAGAAGCGTGTTTGCAGTAGTCCCAACGAGTGTTTTGAAAGGCTCTAAGAGGCCGCTCTTCTACCTTTCGCTGTGACTGTGCTACGCTTACCACGCAGGCCTGGCGTTTTTTTAAATGAGCGAGAACACACCCAAAGTCAACTGCAACAACTCGGAAAATGCGTACATTTAATTTACTGAGAACCACTGGGGCGCATTCTGCAATGACCTGGCCCTTTATGGCGGTTTCGTTGGCTACTTGGCATACCGAACTTTGATGTACTTTCAGCGTTTGAACTGAATCGAATGAAAGAAAAAACATACAAACAAGGAAAGAAAACAAGGAGGGTTCGCTTTTTCCTTCCTTGTCTGCATGTTTTCTTTTTCATGCTTTTTCGATCCTGCACTGAAAATGAATAAAATCTCGCTCTTTATTTTTGTTTTGCTTTTTCACGTAATATGATTTTCTAAGTGGGCAATCGTAGAGATAACCGTGGCACCAGTTAACATTTAATAACAAAGGATGAAGATAGCGGAAATCAAAATTATTGATAAGAAACGGAAGCCTATGTTGTCTCACGCTGGGGGGTTGTCATTATTCAGCATGAGCACTTCAACGCGCATAGTCCAAAACGGAATATAGGGAAGAAGCAGGCTTGAAGTTATCACTGAGTGTAAAAAAAGAAAAGAAAAGGTGAGCACTTTAGGGCTGCCAAGGAGGCCCCCCCTTTTAGAGGAAGCAGTCAGCATTCGTGGATGCGTCGGGTATAAACTCGGAGAACACTTCTACAAAGTGGTAAGGCCAACTACTCGGTATGATAATAATGCCGCTGACCAGCAGAGTAAAAGGATAATGAACGCTAATTATCCAACGCGGCTTTCACGATTAGGTGAACGTAAGATATACAACATATTAGCTGGAGCCATGCAGAATCATTGAATCATATGAGTTGCGAAATCCCCCATAGGCTCCATGCATCGAAATCCGGACACGTCATTGCAACCTCTCCCCCCCCCCCCCCCCATGTCAAGAGTGAGCAGATTGTCGCGCTACCTGTCGATCCGCACGCCCACTATTAAACGCGTTATTTGTGTTTTGCGTCGCCGTTCCTATGTGGTGCGAACATCAGCTAACTGCCGAAAAATTAGGCAAAATGCGTGTCCGGATTTCGGAACACAGTTTCACAACTCGCATGATTGAATAACTCTGGGAGGAGCCACGTAGTCCCCCTTTCCTGGTTTTGTAGGTCTTACACCTGAAGAAAGATTGCCAGGGCGTTTCCTCTCCTCCTGAGCCGCGATCATCGGCTGACGTCTCACGATATCACTTGCACACTGAGTTTAAGACGTGCGAGGCGATGCTATTGCCCTTGGACTATAACAGAACATCACGGCGACGGCGACGGCGACGGCAAACATGCGCATCAAGTGTCCGTACATTTGCTATCGCAAAAAAAAAAAAGAGAAGCGAAAACAACATGGCTGCGAAAGTAGTTTCTCGTGTCCCGTATTCTAGAGGCATCAAAGAAACGCCCTTCACGGGCCCGCGAGTGCGGAGCTACGACACATACCTGGTACTCGTAATTGGGCTTGAGGTGGTAGTAAAGCATCTCCTGGTGAAACACGGGCGTGAGGCTTCCACTGAGCGGTGGCACGATCCATACCCAGTCACCGGGGCAGCCTCCACGCAGCCGGTTTTCATTCTCCATGTGCTTCATGAACTGCTCGGACGCCGAGTGGTGTCTACGATGGTCACGTTCGCCTTCTGCACATGTACATCTATCATCTATCTATCTATCTATCTATCTATCTATCTATCTATCTATCTATCTATCTATCTATCTATCTATCTATCTATCTATCTATCTATCTATCTACTATCTATCTATCTATCTATCTATCTATCTATCTATCTATCTATCTATCTATCTATCTATCTATCTTCTATCTATCTATCTTATCTATCTATCTATCTATCTATCTATCTATCTATCTATCTATCTATCTATCTATCTATCTATCTATCTATCTATCTATCTATCTATCTATCTATCTATCTATCTATCTATCTATCTATCTATCTATCTATCTATCTATCTATCTATCTATCTATCTATCTATCTATCTATCTATCTATCTATCTATCTATCTATCTATCTATCTATCTATCTATCTATCTATCTATCTATCTATCTATCTATCTATCTATCTATCTATCTATCTATCTATCTATCTATCTATCTATTATCCTATCTATCTAATCAAATCTATCTATCTATCTATCTATCTATCTATCTATCTATCTATCTATCTATCTATCTATCTATCTATCTATCTATCTATCTATCTATCTCAACTAAAAAAGAAGGAGAGGAAATAGCTCCACAAAGAAACGCGCCACGGAAAATTAAGATATTAAAGTGAACGAGCCACTGCTATTAGAAAAGCTTCACTCCGACATGCGCTCGTCAGGTTTCCGTAGTTCTGGCTCGCATTGTAACCCACGTACCATTTCAACTGTACTGTTCTTGGAAGCTATTTAAATTTAAACACTACGGGAACGCACATTTCCGCGCTGATGGTAAAATTTAACTCCACCTCACAACACAGATGCTTGGAATTTCGAGAACACTCTGAATGTTATGCAAAATCTGAGGAGTGTTACGAAGTGAGCATAACAGAGAACAACAACAACAACAACAACAACAACAACAAAAAACACACGATGACACCCTTCCAGAGATGTGTGGAAACCATCGTATACCGATTCACCTTTCCCTTGTTTCTCCATCGACACGACTCTTTTTCCGAAGGCGCGAAAACCCGACTGGCGAGAGACGTCGTGCAGACGCTTTATGTCGCTGTCGACAAGCTGTGTGCAGAGAAGATGGCTTTCTCGAGGACAAGGTCTTTGAAAAGAGCTCGGCCGCCAAGTTCCAGCTTATATAGCCCAGTCGGTAAACTTTTCGAAGTGCTTATTGCGGCTCGAAACATCTTATCCACTATACACAGGCAGCGCTTCAATCCGAAAAAAATCTCCTGATTGCTGCACTTGCCCATGGTATCCACTGTAAGTGAGGTCGTTTCGCTTCTCCGGCAGGTGGCGAGACTTGCTTGACTAGGACAGAACCAAAACTTAGCGTTAATATGTAGCATCGGTCCGGAAACGTAGCGCTAGAATTTCGCTATCACCTTGCCACCGTCTTAGCTTGTCAAACTCTCTTAATAACTAAATGAGCGAAAGTCTGTCAATGAGGTGTTTTGACGCGTCCCGGCTTCTTCGCAATATCCTCACGTGCTTCGCTCGCTCATTTTAACTGATTCATTCCTTTTCTCAAAACTTTTCGCATGCATGTGTAGGGCGTAGAAAACTTTCCCGCAACAATGCGGGACTCTGCTTCACAGAGAGCGCTTAGATATGCGAGGCATGGCTCGACAAAATGTCACTTCCATTCATGATCACTAGTTCTAAGCGAAAAAGAAACTCTCTCCGCGAGCAGTGGCATTCAATAATAAAAAAAAAAAAAACAGTCATAGCTTCGGCGACAACACCGACAACGACTGACAACACCAACAGTTAATCACGAAAAATGAGGAGCAAGAAAGAAACAGGCATGGAAACTGTACTAGCAAAGAGCTAAAAGAAGCGTACAAAAGTGTAGCACAGTTTGACCTCTATATGCAAATCAATAGGAGAACATAGTTTAGCGAGAGGTTGCGCGTGGGGTAGACATTTGCAAGCGTGGAAAGGGGGAAGGCGGAAAAAGAGAGAGCGAGGCAGGAGGTCTTGCATGGTAATAAGCTGGGTTGCAGCGGGAGCCACTTGCCTGGTAGCTGTGCATGACAGCCAGGGTGAGTTCGACAGCAGCCCGATCCCGCCAGAGGCTCGAATTGCTTTTGGTGTCGATGCCTATTCGAGTCGCTACTTCCTGGGCAAGGTTAAAAGAGAACGAGAGCGAGAGAAAAGGAAATCGGCGATTGCGAGTTCGAGGCGGTTATCGCTTGTTCTCGGCGTCCTGAGCCAGCTTGAAACTCCACTGAGTACGCATTATAGTCTTCTTCGAAAAGTGAGTTGTATCACGAATGCGTGCGAGGGCAAACGTGCGCGCTTAGATTGAGAAAAGCTTACGCGTCCGCAGTTAATGTGACAGTTACAAACGGAAAGTCGCGTACTCAATAACCTTGCGATAAAGTACGCTAACAGGGGTCTTTATTTTTCTCCCAAAACAACAGCTGTATTCCAATCCATGGAGATGGAGGCAGTTTTGAGTCGTACATCTTTTGCGATCCTGAAGATCAGTTACGTTGTTTAATGAAGTTTTCGGAGAAATATGAGAAAGGGGGTGGGGGATGCTTGAATTGGGTATCGGTCCATGGAAACAGGGTGCACGTAGGTCTTTCGAAAGTAGACGTTGAATGCATTCTTCCCCTCCGTACAACGCGGAAGGCGCAACACACCGTATACTTCGGGCATATGCTGGCGACACTGTTAGGCAGATGTAGAGGCAAAAAAATAAACAATCTTGCACCATGCGCTTGCCGAGTTTTAAGTTCATTACGAAAAATTTTCGCAGAGCGCAGTTCTGCTGGTAGCAGCTTTGAGTTACGAGCACTACTAGTTGGTATAGGTTCATAACAACAGCGCAAAATAACAAAACCATTGGCCCCGTATCTGCATTTAATCTGCAAATGTCGTCGAAAGACGATAGTTTTAGGTGTGGAGAGAGTGAACAAAACATTTATTTGATGTCCTGCGCAAGAAAATCGGTGAATGTTATTCCGGAGGCTCTGCATTTGAGTGCCTTGAGCATGCAGCGCAGGTGAACGAGCGCATCTAGTCACGTCACACGCGAGACATGAGCGCTATCTGGCAGTTCTTTTTTTAGGGGCGAAGCTCCTTAGGGCGTGGGCTGTGCGTCCCCTGTAGCCTGTATGTAGCCACCTCTAGTTTAGTTCTTGCAGTGTTCACTAGATGGCGGTACCGTCCCCTGAATGTAGCCACCTCTAGTTTAGTTCTTGCAGTGTTCACTAGATGGTGGTACCGTCTCCTGTATGTAGCCACCTCTCGTTTAGTTCTTGTAGTGTTTACTAGATGGTGGTACTTGTAGCTGATGATGAAAAGATGCAAGATGTTATAAACTAGAAAGCGGTACTTGTAGTTGATGAAAGACGCGAGATCTAATAAAATAGAAATGATGTCACATATGGCGCGTGTCATTGGTTGAAGGCAATCGTTCGATTTAGTGCGGCGACGTACGCTAGGGGGAGCGTTGTAATAAAATCCGTTCGCTGTTGGCGCGCGCTCGGAGTCGCCGGATGGATAAGGCTGCACAGTGGAGAGAGCGCAAGGCGGCAGGAGCGCGCGCTCGCCGACAGAATCCCGATGTGCGAGCGCGCGAGGCAGAAGCGCTCCGTGAAGCTGCGCGACGCTGCCGCCAAGATCCTGCCTTACGTGAAAAAGAGGCCGCAGCGTCTAAGACAAATAAAAGTTGATTTGTGTATATACACACACAGCGTTTCTCATGTCTTTACATGATGATCGACTGGGCGAATTACACGGAAGATTCACAGTTTACCAATGAATCCCTCCGGAGCTTCGCCCATTCATCATCATTCACCCCGTGAATATGCCGTAATTTTTTTGAAAACGAAGCGCGTGGCCCTGAGACGGGTGCGCGCCCGTCTCAGAGGTGATAAGGTGTATAACGCAAGGCGACGGGTAGGTGCAACCACCATGTTGTCTTAGCAAAGCGTTGGAAACTCTCGCTTCTTCGTGCGAGCGTTGCATGGTCAGCGCAGCGTGATAAACGCTACGGTCCTTACAATTATTTATGTATGCCTTTCCTAGTAAAAGACCCACGTGCTGAATATATACGTGTTGTTATGGTGCCTCAGATATGCGCAATAATTGCTTTTTAATTCACAATCGCACAAGTATGAACGCTGAATCTTGAGCAACATTGGTGGGCGCTGCAGATTGGGTCAGCCGTTCGGAAGTATCGGCTGGTGCTGTTTGGAATACCCAATTCGCGTTAAGAGTGAACAAACAGACAAATGTACAGACAGATAGATCAAAGATTTTGCTTCGAAGGTCCCCAGGAAAGACTATCGTCTTTAAAAAAACAGACAAGACCAAGACAGAAAAAACTACACGAAAATAAAGCTATGTTTGCTTTTCACGCTTTTAGTATGCTTGCTCGCTCGTTATTTTATGTTCTTCAATCTCGGTTCACTTGTTCTTGAATATTTGTCATCCCTAGTAGTAAGAGGCGTATAGCCCCGTGCTACGTTGACATTCAGGGCGGGACACTTTGGAATGATAAAAGTATATATGGTGTGCGAAATGTGTTCTCAACGAAATGATGTTATAACTGCTTTTAGATACGAGCACCTGTTTGACAAGCCTGTGTAACGCTGTCCATTCGTCCGCACCGCGCTCCCTTAGTCGCAGGTGTTGGGGAGGTGCCAAGTAGGCCACGCCTGCCCTCGCAGTGCGCGCACGTTGACGTCACTCTCTTCTTATAGCACGTCGCCGCTCGTCACGTGTCATCTCGCTCGCTTCACCCTCTCCACCGCTCGCAACGTTTGAGCGCACATCGAGCGAACAGTCTTTCTGCGATGAAGCCTACAGGAAACCCAACCTGCCTCCCGTGCCTGTGTTCCGAACAAACGTTCACTCCAGTAAACGCTACATTGAGTTTCGCTTCAAACCGTTCTTCCAGCACCCGCATCGACACCCGTTTCTACTGGGTCAACGTCGTGCGTACCGCTGCTGCTTCGCATTCCGTCAGGGTTCCCTTCGGGAAGAGATAGTGCATTTTCTTAATTGGTTGTCAGGATATGAAGAGTAACTGGTATTTACAAGACCAAGGATAGACAACTTGTCAAATGACGATTAGTAAGTGTATGTGGTGCCTAATTATCCTACTAAATTTAGGCGCCTGTTCAGTATCGCAAGAACGTTGCACATTGCGAGGTTTACGAAAGGCAACACGCGAACTACAATTTAAAACAAATCTAGTTGTTGTACGCGCGGCCTCATCAAGTGTGAGGCCCACAGAACGGCGTTATGCTCTCCCATCATATAGTACCTAGTACTCAAATATCTTTAGCCATTTTTTACTAAACACAAATGGGATGACAACGCAAGCTAGCGCTACTTGTACGGTCCCTACGACCTTCTCTGCGCAGCACTGCTGCCCTGTCCAGAAAAATGTGTTCACTACAATGAATATTGTTCCGGCGAGAACATTGTTTTGTGCCACGAGTATTGTCACGTAGTATTGTTGAGCTCACAAGACAAGGTTGAGCCCACAGGGCGAGCTTAGGATCAAGCTCACAGGACAAGCTAAGGCTTGTAAAGTGCGTGCCGGTGACTGCTTGTCGACTTCGGCACTGAAAATCTTGCTCGCCGCAAGCAACAGAAGCGCTCCCCACTCGATTTGTGCTACATTAATAATGTTCGATTCCATACTACTCCCATTTTCTCTGCTGTTGCAAGGAACATGTGAGCACAAGGCAGATGTTGTAATACAGTTAGAAAGTGCCAATAACAACATGCTGTGGCCAATCTTAAGAGTGGAGGCAAGAGGCAAAGATTATTATTTTGCCTGCTAGTAACCTATTAATTGTTTCATTAACTTGAGAGGCTTATTTGTCGAAAATGCCTACACCGTGGTTATGACTGATTTGAAGTTACTTCTCCTACAGATTAACCTCGTGTTGGAAAATAGTCCAAATGACTTAAGGTATCAGTCAGGACACCAAAAACAGTGTCCTGCGTTTGCGGCGTCCTGACCTTACCCTTTTGACCACGCTTACACGCCCGCTGTCTTTTATCCGATGTAGAATGGTGCAGCGTGTGACAGAGTACTGACCTCGGCGAGGTTGTAGCGATGCGCATCGCAGAAGTCCCTAACGGCGATCTCGGTAACCATGTACCAGCCGTTGAAAGGGCAGGCCGTGAACTCGACGCCGCCCACGTCCAGCATCATGCTGGACACTGCAGGCACGGCGTACCATTCCAGCTGCATCTCGTCGATGGTCTTGTAGCTGCAGTGGTAGGAAAGGCTCACGTTAAAATAAGTAAAGAAAAAAAGAAGCAAGCCAAGACAAGACAAGTAGACTTGCCTACTTGTCTTGTACTACTTGTACAGGTGAGATGAAAGGTTCCTAGGCCACGCTCCAATATAAATACATGGGACAGTGGCCTAGGAACTTTCACGCTTTCATATAAATACATGGGACAGTAGCATAAAAACTTTCGACCCCCCCTCCCTCTGCACGCATACTTGTACTACGTCTACCTAAACTTGAAGAATACAAGTAGTCCTGTCTTCTTCAAGACACCTGTTGTCTTGAAGAATACAAGATTGTTTGTCGAAACACTGACTCCCGCGACACTTTTTGTTTCAAGATTTTTTACTGCTCCAAGCACCTGAAATTCCGCTTGTTTGGATACTAAGCGTAATCATTTGAGAGGCGAATAAAATTTTCCTATCACAGAGAATAAAGACTTAGTGAGCGAGAAAACAGCAAGGAGCAGACACTGTGAGGACGCGAAACTGTACAATATTCGTGACGTGAAATCACCGAACATCGACAGAGTGACTGTGTGAGCCAGACTGGGGGAAAACTCTTTAACGTCATGATACTGGAAGCGCCATCCGACAGCTAGAATACTTCTAGGCTGGTATACTTCGCGGGCATCGTTTTTCATGTGTATTTTATTCAACCAAATATGCGGCGATAGCACCGCAGCATAGTCATGACTGCGTACTTTAGGGCTCTGGAAATGCTTCATGATGAGTCAGCTTATTAGAAGTAATTTCATGAAGTCATCCCCGATATCGATAACATAATCTATCAGCCTATAAAGCCTTCACTAAAGTGACGAATACGGTATCGCTCAAGGCTGAAATGCAAAGCGTGTTTTCTGTGCGCCAGCATCGTTTACGTGGTTTTCTATACGGGGCAGATTTTCGACAGTGGAGACTCAAAAACTCAAAACTGCGCGTGAAGTTCGCCCCCTCCCCTCAGCCAGTTTCTCTCACCAGGCAATGCATGTCGGCACAGACACCATACTCCAGAATTTCCTACGCATAAGTCTCTGCTCTCTGTGTGCCGTACTCTCCTTCATACTCCACCTCCGTTTAGTGACGTTGTTCAGCGTTTTCTTTTTGCTTTTTCAGAATGTGATAGCGCTAAACCGCAAAAAAGAAACTTGGGGTAACCTCAAGCATCACCTTCAAGAGTAGAACGCAGTCACGATATCAACGCGCGCCCGCACGCAAGCACGCACACACACACACACACACACACACACACACACACACACACACACACACACACACACACACACACACACACACACACACACACACACACACACACACACACACATACAATCACACACACACGCACACACACACACACACGCACACACGCACTCGCACACGCACTCGCACACGCGCACACGCGCGCGCTCTAGCCTGCCTGTGTTTTTCGGTCGCGGCCTAAAATGTGCCGCAAAAAAATCTAAAGGGGACAAAGGTCAAACACCCACCCACTCCTATCTTTATTTACATCTATACCTAGCATTTTCGCTCATGAACGACGCTGTTTTTTTCTCACAAAAAAAAAGACGCCACCATCGCCGATCCCACCGACCACAGAATTTTGTAAAACGAGCTTTTTAGTGATATTGCGTAATGACACGCAGGAATGCACAAGTGAAAACTGTTCCGCATAGCCTAATCCCAAAACAAGACGAGTATATAATCGATTGCACAGCTTTACTCTCAAAGAAACCTGTACTCAAGCATCCTTTGTAGATCTATGCTCGTTGTACATTTTCGTTTTTTTGTTTTGTTTTGATATATTCGTCCTCAAATTGTAGCGGGCTTACAAACTTATTCGCCATAAATCATGACAACTCAACACAAGGCAAAAAAAAAAACCAGCAACAACAGTTACGAATATCTTTTCTGTTACATTGGCGAACCTTGAGCAACGGCTCGTGTGTTCCGCGCTGAAAAAAAAAAAAAAGAAAACTCACACAGGATGAGTAATCTTCACCCGCATTATAAGGTCCTCGGGAATCTCGAAGATCTCCGGATCTTCACCGTTGGCCGATAGAACCAGGGGCAGCGCCTCGAACCGGCCTCCTTCGGGTTTCCAGCCGAGCTTCTTGCATATCTGCAGAAACACCACCGGACAGCTCACTCACGTGTCTTGGTTACGGCCAACTCCCCGCTCCGAAGAACACACACATTGCCACAATGGTCGCGCTCAGGAACGCCAACCTCATGGCGAACGTGTAGCGAGGTTCACATATGCTACCGCTGTAACGTATCCAGAACAGGGTATCAGACTATAGAAGACGAAAAGACTGGGACATGCGTAAGCTTGCACGCTCACATTATCAAAGCGTCTTCGTTTCGTTACTATACTCCCGTTTATATGCAAAGCTGTTGGCTCAATAGATGGTCAATAGTTTCTATCTCTACGCAGTTGCCGTTATCGTGCTTGGATGAGTCAGCCACACCAACGTGAACAAGATCGCGCGACCTCTGCAGTGTACCTTGAGTAGACTCGATGATCGGCCCTTTACTCAAGAAAACATCCTGGGAGCGTGGTCTCAAAGCACATCAGCCCAGAAAGCCACACAAGGCTTCCTGGAGTACTCGATAGCAACAGTAATGAGTGACCACCTGTTATACGCTGAAGTTTGTGTGTGCGGTGTGCATTCTGTCTTTCCTTCTTACTGTTTTGCCTCTTTATTTACTTTCTAATCCCCCCCACCTTGTGTTAGGTAGCTAATTAGACGTAGTCTAGTTAGCGTCCCTACACTTCTTATTTTATTTCCCCCCTCTTTCTTTCTGTTAGCACAGTTTCATCAAAAGCCTAAGAAACATGAATGCTTAGGGAAGCCTTCCTCGATGCTTTGGATAGTGATTCAGCACGCAGTCATTATTTTGATGTAACTAACACTTATGCAGCCAATAAATGTAAGTATTTATTCATTTATTTACTTTGCATACACGGATGCACAAGGATACAGAGAAAAGATAGAGAGAATCTGGCAACTGCCACCTGGAGGGGCACAACGCCTGTTCATTCTTTCGGGAGGAGAGAAGAAACAGAGGAAACGAAGATAAGAGGGGAGAAAGAGACAAGAAGAAAGGGAAGTGAAGAGAAAATGACGAAGACTTAGCCACGTATAAGTAAAAAAGTAAATAAAAAATACAACTATAATGGGTAGCAAGGTACGTTTGGTTCATAAAAGTAAGGAGAGCTCGATGGGCCTGATCGCGCCAGGAAGCACAACCTTTCGGAATGAGGTATACGTACCCGAGATTATTATATATATTATATATCTATATATATATATATATATATATATATAATATATATATATATAATATATAATATATATTATAAATACCCCGTTGTCCCACGCGTTGCTCATCGTTGCCAAACTTCGGTTATGAAATGAAACGCTTTATCTGTCAATGTCGTACTTAAATTCGCATTGCAAAATAAGCAGCAAACTACACTCTGCGCTGCTTACAAGGGACCTTCTGCCCTCGCAGTAAGCAGCATACACGTGCACTGGTGAGATTACCGTGGCACACTGATACGGAATACGAAGTAGCTTGAAATTGTATGCCATATTTATTCGAATGAATATAAGCTGTAGGCTGAATGATGGAGGCGAAAATGCTATAGGTTCATGCACTTATAGATTTAGGTGCATGTTTGAGCCCCGGGGGGTAAGAATTTCCGCAGCCCGCCGCTACAGCGCCACTCGTAATTGTATCATGGTTTTGGGACGTCAAAGTTCACAATTAACCTCAATAAATGATTCAGTCACAAATGCAGCGGCCAGAGATTTGTTACCATGACGTACCTAAATGCAAAAAGGCATTTAGGTACGTCATGGTACAATGAGTAGAGTAGGCGCTAAACAATGCTTACCACCTCGCGAACGCTGCAGTTTTCGTACAATACCAGTAAAATACGAAAGGTGCACGTGCCTTCGTCGAAGTACGTCAGGCGCACGTACCTCTTCGTAGACGGCGCCAAGGAGGACTCGGACGGCACGCAGTCAAATAGTTTGGAATGGCACCACCACATTTTTCGCCATAGTTTCAAGTATTCAATACTATAATACCCTCTTTAGATAAGGAAAGATAAGATTATACAGATTAAAATTGATTCCGAATGGAACCAAACCGATGGTCTGGTGCGATGATAAAATTATAATAGCACACTAGCCGCAAGCCATCGCGAGAGCTTATGCAAATCCTCAGCACAATCAATCTTCGTTCGAGCGGTGAAGCAGTCGAGCCTGTCTTCCAAGTTTGGCAGGGACTGCATCTAAACGCGCGCCATCTCCGATGCCCCGGGGCTATTTGTGCAATCGGGACGCTTTTCAGGACGACTCAACCCGCATTTGTCCAAGTCCGTCGGACGGCTCAGCCGATCAAGAGGGCGCTGCTTTGCGTTACAATGAGACTCCACTTTGAATCGGCGATGAAGCGAAGGCAGCAGCGGACGGGGTCTAAAGGGTCCGGAAGCGCGATTTGGACTCTGACCTCTGTGTTTGGGCTTATGTCGAGAGAGTTTGTGCCGGAGAGATATCCTTTGCGCAAGCGTAATTTCGATATGCACTATGCTCGCTTGCCGAAGCAACCTCTGCTGATGCAGCCACATTTCTACATACACATTCAGGACATCGCAGCTGAAGGTGATGAAGGAACTCCTGAAGTTTTTGGAAAAACTAATTTGAACTATCGGCTGTGACAGCGATGCCTCGTACCACGCAAGCGTGATGGACATGTAACTTACTGCATGTTTGTGTGTGCTAGGATCTGTGTTATACTTATCTCTCTTTCCATACTTTTCTCTACCCCTCTTTCTATTCCCATGAGTAGGGTAGTAAACCGGCTTTCCTGAACTGGTTAACCTCCCTGCTTTTCCTTCTCTACCATTTCTTCTCTGTAGAGCTCCCTTGACAAAGTATATGTCGTTTGATAAAGTATAAGACAAAGTATACGACAAAGCAACAGTACCTCCAACCAGTAGTGGGGCGCAACCATACGTCAACGTCCCACCACTCGTTGAGGGCAATTAGCGCTTCTCCTTCATTCAACAAATAGGAATGATAAAGATGAAATAACAATTAAGCATTCCTAAACCATTGCCAATCACGCAACATTCACGTGATATCCCCACCTTTTTTCGGTGCATTTGCTCAAGTTCCCCACTGTGGGAAAATGCGGGCGGCTTTTTTTTTTCAGTCATTTCTTCTCGAAATCATCTCTCAGTTGACATGAACCCCCGCGTCGTAGTGACTTTCGTATGTCATTCTACAGCAATGCTGCATATGACTAGCAGCAGGTGCAAATATGTGGCATGTGTTTAGAAAAAAAGTTGTTAAAGATTTAGAGCACTCGGTACTCTACTATGGGGGAGCTGAAAGCCGTCCCTTGGGCCTCACACTTGATTTGTTTAGAATAAATGTTCGAGGATTTAGAGTACGAGGTACAACACTGTGGCAGAGCAATAAGCTGTCCCTGACAACTAAGCAATAGCTAATGTCGTCGAGTGGCTGTTAAGACAGGGAAGTTTATTGCAAAATGGTAACAACACTTCACGTGAGTACAACTGTCTGGTGTGTGTGGTGTTCAGAAAAAGTGTTTAACGATTTATAGTACTTGGCACTTGACTATGGCAGAGCACTAAGCCCTCTCGTGGGCCTCACATTCCATGAGGCCGTGTCACCTGTCCGACACGGTAGCGCATGTTACGCTGCAAGCGTAATGTGTGTTTAGAAAAAGTTTTAACGATTTAGAGTACGAGGTACTCTACTATGGGAGAGCATAAAGCCGTCCCATGTGTGTGTGTGTTTAGAAAAAGTTTTCGACGATTCAGAGTACGATGTGCTCTACTATGGGAGAGCATTAAGCTGTCCGGTGTGGCCTAAAAAACAATGGCTTGATTAGATGTGTGTGTACGGGGATTATTGTTCAAAGTGCGCATAAATCATAGTCAGGAAGCAATGCTACAGCATACGCTACCCCGATGGGTCTCCGAGACTGTGACAGTTTCTCTGCAGGTTTTATCAGAATATGTAGCCAGGAATGACACACGCCTCCTCGTGAATCTCTGTCTAAATTATTTCAAGTGTTTTCACCATCCTTCAAGGTAACGCCACCACATGGAAAGTTTAAAGCACCCATCTCTGAGATGTAATGATAGAGAAACGAGAATATGTAGGTGAATACACTTCAGATCCCAGCTCATGATATACACCGAGGCCGCACATTTTAACTTCACCGGTTAACCATCAGTGACTAGTTCTCGAGCTGTGATCTTTTAAAGAAGATAGTTTCTTTTGTTTAGAAAAAAAATTATTGTCACAAACGTCAATAACACTCAACAGAACATTTCCTTCTTAGACATACTCTAACGATGATGGCAAAACAGACGTCATTTACATGAACATGGATATGAGATGACGTTGAAAGAACATGTACATTCGATGGTTCACACAAACACAACCACAAAAAGTATTTTAAAGGTATGAACGCAGAAATTCTGGTTTGTCTGTCTGGCACATGATTTAAGCCGACCGGCCAAAGTTTAAGCACTTCCTGAACATCCGGCCATATAGAACTGGTGGCTGCACTCACATTTGTGAACATTGTAGATCAAAAAGCAAATATTACACATATCTGTGGTTCTAAATTAATGACTGAGCATTAGACGTTGTGTCCCTTTACTAAAATACATAAATACGTTATTTTGAAGACCGTAGTGTTTCTTACGCTGCGCTGAAATGCGACACTATGCCAGGAAAAGCAGAGAGAAAGAATAAAACATTCATTTGCGACCGAGGAAAGTGTGTAGGTGAGTGGGCTCCTCAGTTTGGGATTCCAATGGCAGGGGCTGCTGTCCTCGAGAGACGTGTGGGCATTCCCATACCATATAGTACAGGGTGGCTGTTTTAGTGAACGCAGAACCTGCTATGTGGTGCGTACGTGTCGGCATCTATCTTGAACAGTATGTATGAATTGGGGTAAGACAAGGTCTGCAGGCGATGCCACGCTACATCAGATTCTTTACTGAGCTTTGGCTCCGGGGCGGAAGTTTCCGTCTTTCAAGTCTTTGATGTTCTAGAATATCTGTGC